TATATCTATTGGCATTTACCATATTAGAAATGAAAACATCTTAATATTATTATAAAAATTGTTTTGACCTCACTGACCCTCCTAAAAGAGTCTTAGGAATCCCCAGGGTTCCCAGACTCCGTTTTGAGGACTGCTGACTTAGAGAATAATCAGAGTGTGCTAAGAAAATGGAGCTCAGAGCTCCCAATCTGAAGGCACCTGCTTGGCTGACTGCCTTGCAGAGGGCATCCAGAGCATGACCATTTGCTTGGGATGACTCAGTGAGATCTCAAAGCACCTTGCTGAAAAAAAAAAAAAGGAAAGCATTATCATCCCCCTTTTAAAGTTGAGGAATTATTCTCAGAGAGGCAACAGGATTTGCCTGGGGTTACTCACCTATTAAATCATGTAGCTATAAGATGTTAGAACTGGTAGGGGCCTTAGAAATCATCCAGTTCAACTCCCTGTTTTTTCAGAGGAGGAAACAGACCCATTGAGGTTAAGTGACTTACCCAAGATCACTTTCTTCCCACAGCACATACACGGTGCTCTCTTCATTCCTCTTGACGGGGAGCTTCAGTCTGGCTGGGGAGAGAAGGCTGACCCGTAGAAGATCATTAGAGAACAAGGAAGCATTAAGCTGCATCATATAGATGCTTGGGGCATTCAGAAAGTTCAGTAAAATCACTGTTGGCGGGGGTGCTCAGTGAAGGCTTTATGAAGAATGTGCTCCCGAGCTGGGCCTTGAAGGTGAGCACCAGCCTAGAATGGGAAAGGCATGAGAGAAGGGGGCAAGACCACGGGGTCTGCCTTCCAAGGTCACTAGTATTTTGGCCATCCACATCCTCCAGGTTGGTAAACCACGGTTCCTCCTTGGTCTGTAAAATGAGGGGGTTGAATTCGATGATCTCTTCTGAGATCCCCCAGCTAATAACTGGTCATGAGATCTGGAATTGAAAGGAGATTTTGACATCCTAGGATCCCAGACCTAGAGCTTCAGGTTGACCTGGGAGGTCATTGAATCCATACCACCCTATTCATTTTACAAAGGAAGAGCTAAGGCCCAGGCTGGTAAAGAGCCTTGGCCAGCATCACATAAGAAGGAACAAAAGAAAACAAGCCTTTATTAAGTGCTCATTATGTGCCAGGCCCTGTGCTTAGCACTTTACAAATACCATCTTGTTCTTGTCCTCACAGCAACCCTGGGGGTGGGCACTATCATTCTCCCTATTTTATATTTGAGGAAACTGAGGCAGACAGAGGTGAGGGCATTTGTCTGGGGTCACACATCCAGCAAGCGTCTGGGGCCATATTGGAACTCAAGTCTTCCTGACTCCAGGCCCAATGCCCCATCCACTGCGCCACCCAGCTGGTGGAGGAGCTAGAATCTGACCTCAGATCATAGGATCATAGATCTAGAATCGCAATGGACCTTATGGGCCATTTAATCCAACCCTCTTATTTTAAAGATGAGGAAACTAACTAAACTCATAATCCTGAGTTGGGTGGTGCAGTGGATAGAGCTCTAGGCCTGGAGTCAGGAAGACCTGAGTTCAAATGTGACCTCAGATGTTTACTAGCTGTGTGACCCTGGGCAAGTCATTTAACCGTTTGCCTCAGTTTCCTTATCTGTAAAATGAGCTGGAGAAGGAAATGGCAGTATCTCTGCCAAAAACACCCCAAATGGGGTAAGGAAGAGTCAGACATAACCAAACAAGCAGACAACAACAAAACACGCCTAACTGACAGAGTTTATACAGAGATGATGTGCTCAAGGTCATACAGATGTTAAATGGCAGAAGGGGGACTTGAACCCAGGTCCTCTGACTCTAGACCCAGTGTTCTTCCTGCGGTACCATTCTGCCTCCCACAGATGAGGAAACTGAGGTGCAGAAAGGGGATTTATTATTATGATTATTATTATTGTTCTATTTTTATTATTTGTTATTGTTATTAATTTTGGTATGTGAATACTTTTGGTGCCGGAATGATCTGGGCTGGCAGAACTCTAGCAGGTCCTGCAGAATGGAAAGGTTCACCTTGATCTTAGAGAATCTCTAGTTTTCTCCAAAGCAGTTCACTTGCCACTCCTATGTGGGCCCTGGCCTGCTTTCCCCCCAGTTATTAAGGGCTTTCTCTGCTTCTTAAAATGACCTTGAATTCGCTTTGCATATATCTTGTATTTACTTTTATGTGCATGTGTTGTCTCCTTTAAAAGAACGTAAGCTTCTTGAGGGCAGAAATTGTTTCATGTTCATTATTGTTGTTATTGTTATTATTGTTATTATCGTTGTTGTTCCCACACCATGAACCTGATGGGGGCTTGAGTTGAAATTCTAAGTATCTAAGTGAAGTTCCTCCATCCCTAAATTGGAATCCCTAGGTCTAAGGGAGTGTAAGCTGGGACGAGTATAACCCAATTTTAACATTCCCAGAGGGAGAGGGAAGACAGAAAAGCTGAGCAGAAGGTGATAATAACTCACTTTTATATAGTGCATTACAGAGACATTATCTTCTTTGATCCTTACAGCAGTCCTATGAGGTAGGTGCTATTATTACCCCCATTTTATAGAAGAGGAAACTGAAGTTGATGGAGAATTTCCTTTAAAACATCTCTCTTTCAAGTGGTTCATCTGTCCTCTGCTTGAATACCTCCAATGATGAGAAACTCACTATCTCCAGAAGCAGACCATTCTACTTTGGAATAGCTCTCGTTGTGAGGAAGCTTTCCCTGACACTGAGACTAAATCTGCCTTTGCTTTCTCCCTCTCCACCCACCCCAGTACACCCTCCTTGCCTCTTCGCTGCTGGTTCTGCCCCCTGGGGCCAAACAGGACAAGGCCCGTGGTTCTTCCGCAGGTCACCTCACCAGCTCTCTCCTGCCTTTGATCTCCTATAGTGCTAATTAATAATAACACTCCCTTGGTTTTTATGTAGCATTTGTTTTTACAGCTTCCGAGAAGCTTTCACATAGATCTTCTCATTTGGCCTTCACGGCAACCTTGTGAGGAAGACTGGATAGGGACTATTAGCTCCATTTTACAGAGAAGGAAACTGAGGGCCAGGGAAAGGGAAGGACTTGCCCAAGGTCACGAGATGAATGGGGGGGGCCCACCACCCAGGTCCCCTAACCAGGAGCCAGGAAGATCTGAGTTTGAGCCTCCACTCCAAACCTTAAAGGCCATGTGACCCTGATCTGGAGAGGGGGGGATTTTCTATCACGCTGCTTGTGATTTCTTGTTTTATTTAATTCAGTGTAATTTAACTCACATTTATTAAATGCCTGTTACGTGCGCTGTGTTGGGAGAGCTTAAATAAAAAAGACTTGGTAACTGCTTCACGGAGTTCACAGTCTAGACAAGATACAAGACACATAAAATAGTGATCATCATGATAAGTGGAAGGCATTCTGGCACAATGGTTAGTGGGGGAGGGGGAGAAGAGAGCATGTTTTTTATTAAACACCACTTGATGCTGAGACCAGTTCTTTGTGACCTCATTTGGGGTTTTCCTGGCAGAGATACTGGAGTGGTTTGCCATTTCCTTCTCCAGTTTGTTTTACAGATGAAGAAACTGAGGCAAACAAGGTTAAACGACTTGCCCAAGGTCACACAGCTAGTAAATGTCTGAGGCCAGATTTGAACTCAGGTTTTCCTGACTCCAGGCCTAGAGCTCTAGCCACTGCACCACCCAGCTGCCTCAGAATTATGAATACTTGAGTCCAAGTCACATCTCTAACCCTTGCTTGCTTAAGCTCTAAGTGTCTCAGGCAATGCTCTAATTCAATTCAATTCAACAAGCCTGAGCACAGGGGATGCAAATACTGAAGTGATACCGCACCTGCTCTCAAGCAGCTTACTCTCTATGGGAAGGAATCCCACTGTATGGGAGATCACTGAGTGGCCAGGGAAGGGAGCCAGAGGGCAGGAGATGGTCACACCTTTTTCATTAGTGGCGTACCAGAGCAAGAGTCAAAGGTAGAAATCCGAGGGGGAAAGGAAGGCAGGTGGGCTATGTGTGTATCACGGAGGGCGTGTCCACAACAAGAATTTCCCTTGCGCTGATAAAATCATGAGGCCAGATCAAAAAGTTTGCAGAGAGAGACTGAGACAGAGAGAGAGACAGAGAGACAGAGACAGAGAAACAGAGAAAGGGAGGGAGAAAAGGGGAAAGAGAGAGAGAGAGAGAGAGAGAGAGAGAGAGAGAGAGAGAGAGAGAGACAGAGAGAGAGACAGAGAGAGAGACAGAGAGACAGAGACAGAGAGACAGAGACAGAGAGACAGAGACAGAGAGACAGAACAGAGAAACAGAGACAGAGAAACAGAGAAAGGGAGGGAGAAAAGGGGAAAGAGACAGAGAGAGAGAGAGAGAGAGAGAGAGAGAGAGAGAGAGAGAGAGAGAGAGAGAGAAACTCTGTTAGTGGTGTAGTGGGAAGAGCAACTGGATGTGGAGCCAGGAAGACTTGAGTTTAAATCTTGACTCAGAAACTTAAAAGCTGTGTGATGCTGGGCAAATCTCTTGACCTCTCTGAGCTTTGGTTCCCTCACCTGTAAAATGAGGGAGCTCTGAATGGATGGCCTCTAAGGTCCCTTCCAGCTCTCCCTCTAGGATACTATGAATCCTCGCTTTGGCATTCAATGACTGTGGTTTTGGGCAAACTCTGGTCATTTCTCTGAGCCTCAGGTTTTTCATCTGTAAAAGGGGACAACAATATGTACATTCCCTACTTGACACAGGGCTGCTATAAGAGATGCGTTCTGTAAAGCTTGATGTTCCATAGAAATGAGAGTTCTGATGATGAGGGAGCCATGAGCCACACAAATAGCTATAATACAAGACGGCACATGACGTACCAGACAGCTGGGTTAACAGGGAGGTTCTGTATGGCCCCAAGGGCAGAACTGGGGGGGGGGGAGGCTGCACAGGGGTGACTTTAGGCTTGTTTTCAGCCAAGATTTCCTAACCATGAGGGCTCTCCAATAGTGCTTACTATGTGCTGGGACACAGAGAAAGGTACCTGGTGATCCCTGCTCTCAAGGTGCTCCAGGTCTGATGGGGAGGATAACATGCCAATAACCAGATACCAGCAAGCTTCACAGAAGACACACTGGAGAGAATCGGTAGAGAGAAGGCATTAACACGAGAGGGGATTAGGAAAGTCTTCTCGTAGGAGGTGAGACCTGCTGGAAGCCAGAGAAGTTAGGAGGCAGAAGGAAGGAGGAAGGAGATAGTTTCAGGCATGGGGGGCAGCCAGAGAAAATGCCTGGAGTTGTAAGAGGGAGAGACTTGTTTGGGGAGCAGCCATGAAGCCGGCATCACCGGATAGAAGAGTCCACGGGTGGTGGGAGAGTGGGGGGTGAGTGGAAGCAGGGGCTGGGTGGCTGCTAACATATTGGGTGTGTTGTAGAGAAAGCCTTCTTCAAGTAGAGATTGGGCCAAAGACCTCTGAGGCCCCTTCCAGTCCTAAGGTTCTGTGACAGGTCTCGTCTCTCTTCATTTCTCTGAGGGTCCCCTAAAAGGACCAGCAAAGTTGCCTGGATACTTGAGGGCAGGGGGTCAAAGGGCACCTATCCATCTCAGAAATCATAGCCTGGAGAGAAGAGCTGACTTCCTCCCCTCCCCCCACCCATCAGGAGTACAGGAACTCCCCATACAGCTGTTGTTGTCTAACCTTCAGATTATAAGGATCCCGTCTGATGACCCCTTCTGCTCCATCTTTTTTTTTGTTCGTTTTTACAAGTTTCTTTGGGACCCCTCTGAGTCATCCTGGGGACTCAAGAGGTCATGTTCCTGCTGTCTTCTTCTTCAGAGATGAGACACCTAGAACAAGTCCAGTGGGTGCCATTCCGTTCCAGAGTGGCCAGAATCATGGCGTCTGGGCAGGAGGACCAGCGCCTCAGTTGTGAGGACTTGCTAAGTCTTTTTCAAGGCTTCTCATCCACCTTCACCCTGCTCTCACCTGTGGCTCCGAGAAGCTGTAGCAGGTGCATCGGCCACACCCCAGTAAACCATCAGGGCAGATGGGCTAAACCAGGTTGAGGGTGATCAATGGGCCTCAAACCTGTTGGTAAATTAGGGGGATGTCTACCCCAAGCGTGTGAAAACTTTCCCCGGCAGAAAGGGCAATGATCGAAGGTGCCAAGGTCACCCACTGCCTCCTGGACCATCCCAGTCACCTTGACTTCTGTCTCACCACTGGGCTTCAATGACTCTGGAAGAGAGAGTGAGGCTGAGACAAATCTTTCGGGACAGCTAGGTGGTGCAGTGGATAGAGCACCAGCCCTGAAGTCAGGAGCACCTGAGTTCAAATCCTGCCTCAGACCAAACACTTGACACTTACTAGCTGTGTGACCCTGGGCAAGTCACTTAACTCCAATTGCCTAAAAAAAAGAGAGAGAGAGAGTGAGGCTGAGGATTTTGTGCAGCTCTGCTTCACTTAAATCCAATTCACTCGAAAGTCAAGACATCACCCATGAGGTCATTGTTCCTTGCTCTCTGAGCATCCCACATCCTACTTGCTGTTCCTGGCACACAGTAGGAGCTTAATAAATGCTGTTCAACTGACTGACAAACCATATCCCTGATAGACACAGACACCTGGGAACAGTCCCTGCTTGCCCCAGGGAGAGGAGACCTCAGCCCTGTGGGTGCTGCTGCTGCTGCCACCCTGCTCTTCTGGCTCACCTAGCCTCCAACCCACATTCACTCTCAGACCATTGTCTCGGTTGAATCAAGAAATATGGATTTGAATTCCAGCTATGTCGCTTATTAGCTGTGTAACTGTATACGCCACTCCATTTATCATGGAGGTGGAAAAGGGATTTTAGAGGTCAGCAAATACAAACTCCTTATTCTGCAGTTGAAGAAACTGAGGCTGAGATAAATTAAGTGACTTACCCAGGGTCACACAGCTAAGTAAATGTCTGAAGGAGGATTTGAAGTCAGGCATTCCTGGCTCCAAGCCCCGTGCTCTATCTGCTGTACTCTATACGCTTTTCTGAGCCTCAGTTTCCTTCTTGGTAAAACAGAGGTAAATAAATTTATCCTATATATGGCTTGCATGTAGCTGTTTGCATGTTGTCTCCTACATACAGCAGGGGCTGTATTTTGCCTTTCTTTGTATCTCTAGAGCTTAGAGTAGTGCCGGACACAGAGTAGGTGCTTAATGAATGGTTATTGATTGACTATCTAACTGAACAGAGTTGTTCCAGAGTGTCTGTAAACCTTAGAGCACCAGAGAAAAGCAATTACCCAAAATAAGCCAGGTCATCCTTGCTCAGCAGCTCCAGCTTTGCAGGGAAATCTCCAGCACACAACCCATGGAATCATTCCATCTTTTTCTACCTCCCAGTGGCCTCAGTTTCCTCATCTGTAAAATGAGGGGGGTGGATTCAGTGACCTCTGAGAGTCTTTCTCAGTCTGTGATTCTTTGAGGCTATGTACATTCCCTTCTGTCTATGAGACACATTCAAGCCTGTAGAATGGTGGGATTAAAATTTGCCTAAAGTAGAGGATGCTTGAGGGCATTGAAATGACAAATAGAGTCTCAATTTTATCCTGTCACCAGTTGTCTTGACTTTTATTTTGCCGCTGGACTTTGATGACTGGAGGAGAAAGTGAGGCTGGTGACTCTGAAGGCTGTGCCTCACTTAAGTCCAATTCACAAGCAGGTCAAGACCCTCGTGATGTCATTGGTCCTCTTTGAGAATAAAGGATGAACAACAGCAGAAGAGTTTCGTTTTATCCTAGAGGTACTAGGGAGCCACAGGCTTTTATGGAATCGCAGAGTGATGTGGTTAGATCTGTACTTTAGGAGAGTCACTTTGCTAGCTGTATAGGGGATGGACTGAGTGAGAAGAGGTCTGAAGAAGGAAAACCAGAAAGGAAGATATTGAAATGAGACCCGAACTAGGGTGGTGGGTATATGGGAAGAGTGAAGGAGATGTACGTGAGAGATGTTGAGAAGACAGAAATGATTGGATATGTGTGATGAGCGAGAGTGAGGAGATGGGAAGGTATCGAGGGTACAAAATTGGAGGACTGAGAGGATGGTGACGTCCTTATCGGTGTTTGGCCTTGACACCAGCAGGGAAGTCTGGAAGAGGAGTGGGTTTGGGAGTAAAAATAGGAGTCCTATTTTGGACAAGTTGAGTTTAGGGTGCAGTTAGGAGATCTCATCGATAGTTAGTTGGTGATTAGAGCTAGGAAGAGAAACTAGTGCTCTGTGTATGGATTGGACATCATTTGTGTAGAGAGAATTGTATCCAGGAGAGCTGATGAGGTCACCAAGTAAGAGAGTGCAGAGGGAGGAGAGAAGAGGACCCAGGACAGAGCCTTGGGGGACAACCAAAGTTAGGGAGTGTGATGATTGATGAGCCAGCGAAGGAATCTGAGGAGTGGTCAGACAGGTAGGGGGAAAACCAGGAGACGGCAGTGTCATGGAAACCCAGAGGCAACAGAGTATATAATGGTTTAGGGCAGGGGTAGGGAACCTGCGGCCTTAAGGCCACATGTGGCCTTCTAGGTCCTTAAGTGCGGCCTTTTGACTGAATCCAAATTTTACAAACAAATCCTTAAGGCCACGTGTGACCTTAAGGCCGAAGGTTCCCCACCCCTGGTTTAGGTCTTCATCGTCCTTCCAGGCTGTTGAAATAACTTCCTAATTAGCCTTGTAGTTTCTTCCTTCTCCAATTCATCCATCACACAGCTGTCATAACAGCAACAGTAATAATAATAACCTGCATGTATATATAGACAGCACTGCATAAGCTTTACAGACATTTCATTTCATTCTCCTTCACGTGTTCCACATTGCAGTCAAGCTGGTCGGCTACCTGTCATGTTCCTCATATTGCCCACGCCCTGTCTTGTCTCCTTGTCTTTGTGTGCATTGTCCTTCCTGCATGCCTGGGATGCGTACTCCACTTACCTCCAACATTTAGAACCTCTGGCTTCCTTCAAAGTTCAGCTCAGGTGTCACTGCCTACAGAACTTTCTTGTTTCCTTCCAGGTGTGAGTGCTTGCTCCTAAGTTAGGTGATAAGTTCCCTATTGTGTTCACTTTGGTCTCTATAGACAACTCTCCTTTTTCCTTCCCATCAAAATAATTTCTCTTCTTGTCTCCATAATTTTGTTATTGAGAGCCTCCCGTTCCTCCTGGGATGACTTCCCCTGTAGAATTGTAGTTCACAAGTTCTTATATTTCCTCTAAGCTCTGGAATTTGCTTTACCAAATCTAAGATGCACGCTAGACCATTCCTAGCTTTCCCTTCTTTCTCTAGCACACACTGGAAGATGGTGTGGTCACTTCCCCAAGATTCCTATCATTTCTTCTCCAGCAACCAGTTCCTATTGACAAGAATCAGATCCAGAATACAGCTTCCCTTTGATGGCTCCTCCACCTTTTTGAAGGCCCAAGTTATCGTTAAGACAGGTCAAGAAATAACTACCTCTTTTGCTTTGGGCAAAGAGTAAATCCCAGCAGGTCTCTAGATATTTGGTTTCCTACTGTAGTTATACCATGCCTCTACGCCAGGCTTGTCTAATTCCCAAACTCCTCATCTATGTCCGCTTTCTGTCCAGGTGGATTGTAGTTTACTCAGACGGCAAGAGTGCTTCTGCATTTGTCTCCATTGATTTTTCCTCAGATCTTTTCCATCGGGCTCCCTCCTCTGGGTCCTCTATTTCCTCATACGATTATATTTTCTTAATATGTTACACTACCTGCCTACTCTTTCACTTGTCCTGTCTCTCTCTCTCTCTTTTTTTTTTTTGCTAGGCAATGGGGTTAAGTGACTTGCCCAGGGTCACACAGCTAGTAAGTGTCAAATGTCTGAGGCTGGATTTGAACTCAGGTCCTCTTGCCTACAAGGTCAGAGCTTTATTCATTGAGCTGCCTAGCTGCCCCTCCAAATTTTTTAATGCACTGAATCAAATACATAGAGTTACCCAGAACACTGGGCCTAGAGTCAGGAAGACTGAGTTCAAATCTGGCCTCAAACATTTGCTAGCTATGTGACCCTGGGCAAGTCAGTTCATATAAAGTGTTTCCAAGTTTTTCTCAGACTATCCCCTTTATTTTTCTTTGAGACAATCAGGGTTAAGCGACTTGCCCAAGGCCACACACCTAGTAAGTGTCCGAGGCCGGATTTGAACTCAGATCCTCCTGACTCCAGGGCTGGTGCTCTATCCACTGCACCACCTGGCTGCCTCATGTCCTGTTTCTTTTGAATAAGGTCTATGCTTCCAGAATAAAATTCCCATCATGAGCTTCATCCAGTAATCTAATGAGGCCAAATCTACCTACCTCCTTGAGTTAAGATTTCTAGTTCATCTTACCTGTTATCCATAGTTTGTAAGTGATATACACACACACACATATAGCCCATATATATCTATATTTACACATATGAAAAATATGTGTATGTGTCAGAGTGTGTATGCATATGTGTATCTACACATGTAGTGTCTATATAAGCATATGCACAAACATTTCTATAGGTATGCATATATATATATAATAAGTATTTGTGTAATGTATATATACACACACATATACACACTTATCTGTCACTTGGTAGAATGAAATGAAAGCTTCTTGAGACCAAAGTCTATCCCATCTTCATCTTTGTATCACAGCAAGTAAAGTTCTTTGCCATCATAGATACTTAATTAATGTTGTTTGAATTGGAGAGACAGAGACAGAGAGACAGAGAGAGAGAGGAACAGAGAGAGAGACAGAGAGAGAAAGAGAGAGAGAGACAGACAGACAGACAGACAGACAGAGAGAGAGAGACAGAGAGACAGAGAGATTGATTAGGTTGGGGATTGGGATGAAGTCTGATCATCCTCTCATTCCCTTTCCTACCATTTCAGTACAGTTCCCCAAATCCCACTTTAGTTTCCATTTAATTGATCCATGAGAAAAAGAAGGACAGGTCAAGACAGGAGTGCCCCATGGCAGAGGAGAGAGGGCGGGATGATGCTAGTAGGGAGACCTGGGACAGCAGAGAAAAAGCAGCAAGATATAGTGCTTCAGGGTTCTTAACCTTTTTGGACTCCTTTAACAGCCTGATAATGATTAATAGTAACAATAGTAACCATAATATTTTGCTGTTTCTTAGTCATTTCAGTTATGTCTGACTTTTTATGGCCCCATTTGGGCTTTTATTGGCAAAGATACTGGAGTGGTTTGCCATTTCCTTCTCTGGCTCATTTTACAGATAAGGAAGCTGAGGCAGACCAGGGTGAAGTGACTTACCCAGGGTCACACAGCTAGTAAGTGTCTGAGGCTGGATTTGAACTCAGGAAGATGAGTCTCCTTGACTCCAAGCCTGGCACTCTATCCACTGTACCGCCTAGCTGCCCTCCATGTATCTAATAAACCTTTAATGTTTTTTAACCCTCTTTACTTCGGAAGGTCAAAAGAGGACATAGAGAAACAGGGATATGGGTTGGCATTATCATGTTAAATTTAATACCTCTGTATTAGGCTCATAGGTTCCTATGCAATCCTCTTTTTTCTGTTTTTTCTTTTTTGGATATTGTATGTTGACATTTGTTACATCCAAAACAATAATAAGAAAAACATTTTAAAAGAAACAAAATACTTTACTCTCAACAGTGTTGTGAGGCTGGTACAGTCGTATAAAGTATCCTTACCCCCATTTTATTAATGAGGAAACTGAGGCTCAAAAAGGGTAAGAGATTGGCTTAGAGTCACCAAGTTAGTCTGAAGAGAACTCAGTTCTCCTAACTCCAAGACTAGTGCTCGTTCCATTAGAGAACAATGCCTTCAAGACAAAATTGTCAACAGGGTATGTATTGGAGAAAGTGCCAGCTGAGGGGACCTGGATTCAAATCCCTCCTCTTACTTACTGTCTATATGACCTTGGGTAAGTCATTAAACCATCACTGGCCCCAATGATCTCATCTGTAAGATGAGGTTGGACTAGATGGGTGATGAGATAGCATGAAGGCCAGTTACAAAATGGAGTTGGTTTGGTGTGGGAATCGAGAGAACCAATCAGATTCTAGCTCATGAACACTGACTCCATCTTCCATCTTATGTTTCTGCAAAGTTTTCTGTGGGAAACTAGACATTACAAGCCATCTATTGCTTCACAAATGCAGGTGAATGCAATTAGTCAGCATCTCTCAGTTCTGGGAAAACAAAGCCCTTAAAACCTACTGGGCCCCTCCCAAATTGACCAAAACTCACTCTTCCCCTGTCCCAAATTGGGAAGCCTCTAATCTTTCCTCCAATTAGAAATCAGATTACCTAACTTTGTATCCTAGTTTGTATCCTATTCATTGTTTTCTCTTAATTAATTGATCTTATTGATTAACTGTTTTTAATACGTAAAATTCTCTTGCTCTGTATTCAGGGTCTTTGGCCTGACTGGGGAGTCCATTGAGTCATTTATCAGGCCTGTTGTGCTAATAAATCACATAGCTCAGAACCTGTTTCCTCAGTTATAAATTATCCACCACATGGGTTCTGAAGTCCCTTCCAACTCTATGATTCCATGGTTGTCTTCAGGTATTTGAAGGGTCATCACATAGAAATGAAATTGAACTTGTCCTGCTTGGCTCCAGAGAGAAAAACAAGAAACAGTGGGTGGAAGTTATAGGGGAGACCTTTTGTTCTGATCTATGGAAACATTTCTAAGTGATGAGAGCTGGCCCAAAACGGGCTAGGCAAACTCAAGTAGGGGATGGACAACCACTTGTCAGGGAGGTACCATGTTCTATATGAAGCCTTCCTGGACCCCTCCTTTCAGCGGCTAATGTTGGTCTCCCCTAAATCACCCTCTTTTATCTGTACCTACTTATATTTATACTTCTTGTCTTCCTTTGGCTAGACTGTAAACAACCTGAGGGAAGGATTTGTTTCATTCTTATCCTTGTATCCCCAGCAACTGGTATGATGCCTTGCCTACGGTAGGCACTTAATAAATGCTTATGGATGGATTGATCAATGCTGTTGAGAGGATTCCTATTCAGGTGTGGCTTGGATTGGGCACGCAGCCAAGGGGCTCTCCAGCATCTCCCATCATTCTTGTCTCTTTCAGGTCTGTGCCAGAGGGCACGGAGACCTTCGAAGTCTATGGCACCCCAGGCGTGGACATCTTCATCTCTCCAAACATGGAAACTTCAAGGGAACGGGCTGACACCAGGAGGTGGCACTTCAATATGGGGCTTGAGATCATCGTTGTCATGAACTCTCCAAGCAATGACCTGAATGACAGCCACGTAAGTGTGGGCCCCTTGTGCCAAAGGTGTGGAGTGCCAGATTCATCAGGAAACGCTTGAGTGATTGGAATCTCCTCTGGAGGGAACTCAGTCACTGGTGACCTTCAGTGAGACACCTCCTCTCTCTAGACTTGTTCCTTTTCCTCATTGGTAAAACGAAGGAGGTGGACTCGATTAATTCCGGTGTCCTCATTCCCGACATTCTGTGCCCTCTGGCCCCTCCTGGCTCTCCCACTCTATGTTAGCCCCCGACAACCATCACTACCACTTTTTAACCTCCCCTTACCCAAACCCTGACACCACTTAGCACAGCGTTAGACACACAATGGGGGCTTGTGCTCAAAGGAGAGAACCCTGGTTGAGTGCTCCAAGGACCTGAGTTCTAGTCCTGGGTCTTTGGACCCTCAGTAGTCCTTCCCTTCTCACCGCTGAATCATCCCTTGATTTTGATAACCGTTGCAGTGACTGTTTCGTGAGACCTGAACACCCTCCATCCTGCCCTTGGATTTGGGATGAGGAGGGCAGGCATGGGTAATTCCATGTTTGGGGCCCATTCCATTGCTGGGATTCAATAAATGGGGAACAGTAATTATAGATGTATGGGTGTGTCTAGGCAGAAAGGGCCTGTTTCCTCATAATGTGGGGGAAGTGTTCATTTTAGTTCAGCGAGTCAGAGTCAGAGATCTGAGGGGCTGAGAGATAAATCCTCAAATGTGGAGTATCCATGGAAAATAGCTGTGACACAGCAATTTGAGCACTAGGCATGAGTGTTGCTGCCTTAGAAAGCTGTTTTCTTTATAGAACTAGAGAAACACGGAATCTCAGAATTGGGAGTGAGATGGGAGTTAGAACATAGACTGTCAGAGCTGGGAGGGCCCTTAGAACACAGAATGTCAGAGCTGGGAGGGGCCTCAGAACACAGAATGTCAGAGCTGGGAGGGACCTCAGAACACAGAATGTCAGAGCTGGAGGGGCTTGGAATATAGAATGTTAGAATTAGAAGGAAATGTAGAGACCGTTTTTCCCCCTTTGTTCAGTTATTTCAGTTGTGTCTGACTCTTCATGACACCATGTGGGTTGTCTTGGCAAACATACTGCAGTGATTTCTTTTATTCTATAAATAAGTAAACCAAGGCCCAGAATGGGGCAGTGTTTTCTTCAGGTCACATAGATAGTGCCAGAATTGGAACTAAAGTTTAAGACTATGTAGGAGTCATTGTAAACCGTGACCTATATGACCTACAGCCACCAGAGCTAGCTGTGTGGATACTCAGGGGAGGCTCAGTGCACAGGGAGGGAAGGGAGAGAGGGAATTATCCAGAACGGATCATCATGCTGCCTCTACTGTGGATGAATCTACCATCCTCCCCTTTTGGCTCCGTGAATATTCACATTTTCCAGATGGACCAGTTGAGGCCCAGATCACTAAATAATACACAGACTGCCGAGGGCTTCTGTGTTCCCATTGAGTCACAAATCCTTTCTTGGTTCTCCTTTGTGGGTTGCCCCATGACCAGAGCCATCAGTGATTTGGTCCTCCTTGAACAGAATAGGAAGGATTGGGAGCCCTGGCGTCCCCAAGGGCTTCCCTGCTGGGCCGAAGGCTACCACCCTTGGTTGCTGGCTCCCACGGCGGTCAGTGTCTGCAGGTGGTGGCTGCGACTCAGGGACCATCTCTTTCTGCAGGTTCAGATCTCCTACCACTCCAAGGATGAGCCCCTCGCCCTGGCCTATGCTGTCCTCTACCTCACTTGTGTAGGTAAGTGATGAGGGCAGCAGTGCTGGTCCTGGCCAGCTCCTCGGAGTGAACAGAAATGGGGTGGCCTTGGTGCATTGTGAACATCGGTGTCCTAACATCCCCAAGATAAAGGCCTCTGGCTCTAACACTGCACGAGCCTATCTCAGCACCTCAGAAGGTGTGACTGCAGATATGGGGGTCCACCTTGCAATGAGGCTGCTCGTGGCCCATCTCGGCCTGCCCATCCTGGCAAAGATCCAAGTATCAGGACACCTAGCCCAAAGGGACCTCACCAGTGCCCACTAGAGTGCTGGGCAAGGACCTGAGAGATCTGGGTTTGAATCTCACCTCCCATTCTTTCTGGCTACCTGATCAGGAGCAGATCTATTCAGCTCTCCATGGTCTAGTTTTCTCATCGGTAAAACGGGAAGTTTAGTGAGTCAGTATTATGTAGTGTAGAAACAGCTGGCCTCAGAGCCCCGAAGGCCCGGGTTCAAGATCTGCTTCGAACACAAACTGGCTGTGTGAGCCTGAGCAAATCCCTTCACTTCTTAGTGACCATGGCAGCTTTCCGGGACTCTGAGGTGCTGCATCGGTGCATTGATGGAGGGAGTTTCTCACTAGGAGCTCCCTCTGCCAAAGAAATCGCAAGTTCAGTCCAAAAAGAAATTACTGCTTAATTCACAGTCCTTTGTAAGTGGTCCAACTCTACGGGCATGTTAGTTATCATTAGCTAGTCCAACCTACTTCTTCTATAGGACCACTAAGGGGCGCCATAGTGCATAGAGCTCTGGGCCTGGAATCAGGAAGACTCATCTTCATGAATTTAAATCCAGCCTCAGATACTTACTAGCTGTGTGACCTTGGGCAAGTCACTTCACCCTGTTTGCCTCAGTTTCCTCATCTGTTAAATGAGCTGGAGAAGGAAGGGGAAAAATAATCCAGTATGTCTGCCAAGAAAACCCCAAAATGGGGTCACAAAGCGTTGGACACACCTGAAAAATGACTGAACTACAAAATACATTCTATAGGTGGCTCATACAGTCAGTCATCCATTTGTTCATCTGTTGAACAATGATTGAGTATGGGATAGTGGAAAGAAGGCTAGACTTGCACCCAATAGACCTGGGTTTGAATCCTGGCTCTAATAACTTATTTAGCTGTGAGACTCTGAGCGAGTCCCTTTGTCAGTGTGATCTTGTGTTTGGCCAGAACTTTTCTCCAGGAAATCATTGAGGGGATAGCAGGGCATGGTGGAAAGAGCATTCATTGGCTTTAGATCCAGGGGTCCTGGCTTAAATGACAGCTCTGTGTGATCCTAGGAAAGTCTCTTGGCTTCCCTGGGATTCAGTTTCATCATCTGTCAGATGATGGCATTGAATGACGTGATCACTGAGGTTTCTTCTAGCTTGAACTCTCTTAGAAGAATTAATCTGCTAAAAAGATAGTCTTCTTGGGCACGTGCCATCTATTTCCTGCTCCTGGGGGCCAATGTCCAGCCTAGGGCAGACTCAGAGAGCTCTGAGATCTTGTCCTGACTCACCCCTCTTTTTTTTTTCTTGCAATGGTACAGACATCTCTCTGGACAGTGACATGAATTGTGATGGCAAAGTAGAGAGGAACTACATGGATAAGGTACTCAGTCACTTCTCGGACACCAGCGTGACAGGGAACACAATGGGGAAATCCACTTTGGAGCTGTCTCCAGGCCGGGCCAAGCCCAGAGAGGGATGTTACCGGTATCCCTCTGCTACAGGAGTCATAGTTAAGTTAAGTCTAGGTAGCCAAGAGGAAGCCAGAGGAGCAGGAACTCTCCTTCCTCAAAGGGCAAGCCTGTGCAATATTTATTGAGTGTATGCTTATGCTGTGCCCAGCCTAGTGCTAAGAGCAATCAACAAACATTTATTAAGGACCTACTATGTGCCAGGCACTGTGCTGAGTGCTGGGGAGACAAAGAAAGGCAAAAACACGGTCCTTGTCCTTAGAGAGTTTGTAAATAACTAGGAATATACAAAATCTGTACAGTGTAAATGGAAGGGAGACTTGGGGGGGAAGTCACTAGCTGGCCCTGCCCTCAAGTTGCTTATAGTCTAATTGAAGAGTCGAAGGTTTTACACAAGAAACAGAGAAGAATTAAGTGCCCATAGTACAGCAATGTCCTTTTCAGCAGTCTTCTGCCTCTATTCTCACTCTCCTACACCCATCTACAATTAATGATGTCACAGCTCTGCTCAAGAAACTTGAGTAGCTCTCTATTGCCTCCTGAGTCAAGTTCAGTGTTTTTTGTCTGGCCTTCAAGACCCTCTACCATCTGGCACCTCCTTTCCCTTCCAGTCTTAATTCCTAGTATTCTCTTGCACACAGTCCATGCCCTTGATAACCATCTGTCTTCTGAACAGGGGTGTGTGTGTTCACACCTGAAGGTCCTTTACCCTTTAGCTGGTGAGCCCCTACTCATTCTTTCAGGCCCAGTTCAAAAATTGCCTACTCCAGGAAGTCTTCCCTGATTGTCCTCCAGATCACTAATACCCACAGAACCTGTCTCTGAACCTCTCTAATGTGCCAGGCATTGGGCATTCTATGTGTTTGTCTTATCCCTCTACCAGACAGGCAACTCTATGAGGGTAGGGACAATATCTTATCTAAACATTGTTAACCAGCACAGTGTTCTGCATACAGTAGGTGTTTAAGACATGTTTGTTGTATTAATTTGAACTATGGAGGGCTACTGAGTCCCACGTATGACTCTGTGTATCCTTATAGCCTATAAGGATTGGGGATGGGGAGCGGGGAGAATTCATGTAGGAAATGAGACATGTCATCCCTGGAAGGATGGAGAGTAGCTGGGGATTTACAGAGGTGAATAGGAGGAAGAGGGAATTCTAGGCAGGGGGAAACAGCATAAGCCAAGACAAGAGGAGAGTGAATATAGTGGCCACGGGGGATGATAAAAAGGGGCTAGGTTTGTTGTGGACTTTGGTGTGGATGGAGCATGAAGAGCCTTGAATGCCAGATGAAGAAGTCTGGATTTGGTACTTGAAGACAGAGCTGGGGAGCCAAGAAAGGTTCTGCAGCAGAGGAGTGGCACAATGAGAGTTTTTTGAGGAAGATTACCCTGGTGGCCTTTGGGGGGTGATTTGGAAAGGGTGGGGGGTGAAATCTTGGGGGAAGGGATTATTGCATCCCCAGGAGAAAGGGCATAAGGTTTGGAGATCGAGGGAGGCATATCCAGAGCTTACCCGATTTATTATTGTCAGAGGCACTGGGTATGGGGACCTGGTGGACATGGAGCAGTCCTCTTGGTGAACTGTGACCGGGATGATCTCACCTGTGGCGACAAAGATAACTGTGACAAACGCGTGAGCTGCCTTGAAGGTACAAGCAATGATTCTGGCCAGAAGACATAGAGGGTTACCTGGGAGCCAGGAAAGTGGGCCGACCTTGGCCCTGTGTGGGGGAGGGCTCTCGGTGAGGCTCCTCAGGCCACAGTGGTCCATTTTTCACGTGGCTATCAACCTCTTAGCCCTGAGGTCTGATTCTGAAAGGAAAGGAACTCCATGGTGCCTCGGGCTATCATTCATAGCATGTAGATGGCCGACAACTTCATGGAAGCATGAAGTAGTGTTAGACCACATCCCATCAGCCTAATCAAAGTGGAGATCTGGATTCTAATTCTGTCTCTTCTGTGACCTTGAATAAATCACTTAGTTTCTCTGGGTCTCAATTTCCTCATTTGTCAAATTAGGTTAGATGACTGCTCAGGTCCTTCCAGCTCTGAGTCCTATAATCCTGTGACTTAGGCTCGTAAGACCATAGATGTATAGCTGGAAGAAGACTCAGAGTTCTTCTAGCCTAATTCCTTCATTTTCAGGATAAGCAAACTGAGACCTCAAGAGATGAGGGGGCCGATCTGAGGTCACACAAAGACTTATTGTCAGAGCTAAGACTTGGACCCGCATGTCTAAACTCCCAGCTCTAGCTCTGTCCTGAGTGCAATTACTTTTGCTTGTGGTCCAAGACCCAAGACAGGAGGTGGAACAAGGCATGGCTGGAAGGGTGGGGGGAGGCCATTAGAATATGGCGGCTGGGCTGGTAGGAGTGCCTGTGGGCCTGAGACACCTTGTGCCTCTGGATCCCCAGACCTGCAGGACATGTCGCTCATGATCCTGAGGACCCAGGGCCCCACTGCCCTCTTCGATGACCACAAGCTGGTTCTACACGTCTCCAGTTTTGATGCGGAGAGGGTGCGAGTCTTCCATGCCTGTGGTGAGTTTATCCCCTTATACTGTTTCCAGCAGAGCCACCATCACCAGGAGAGATGTCCACTGAACTGTGTTTCCTACAGTGGGGATGGGCTTCATGGAACAATGCACACTTTTGACTCTAGTCCCCTTGTAATTGAGGGAATAGCTGGCAGGTGGCAGGGTGCTCCAGAGTCTTAGAATTGGAAGGGTCCTCAGAGGCCATCTACTCTAAGCTAGATGAGAGCAGCAATCCCTTCTTCGACATCCCTGAAAAATGGCCATCCAGTCACCGTTCTTCTTGATATCAAGCAAAAACCTGTCTGCCAACCCCTTCCCATTGCTTCCTGTTTGTTCTGCCCTCTGGGCAGAAGAAGGATTCTTCTTCCATGTGACAGGACTTTGGTACTTGAAGACAGAGGTTATGTCTCTCCTACCCTCCAAGGCTTCACTAGACTAAACATGTCTGCATGGTCAGAGGTTTCATCTAGGCAAAGATGCAGTGTGATAAAGTGCAAGGCAATGTATTTGAAATGAAAGGATCTCGGTTCAAATTTTACCTCCATCTGTTACTACTTGGGTGAACTTAACCAAATGACTTTGATTCCCTGGACCTCAGTTTCCTCATATGGTGAAACGGGATCCTGTGGGATCAAATCCAGACTTCTTAATCTAGTATTCAAGGTCCTGCACACTCCATCCACACCAAACCTAGCTTCAGTTTCCATTCCAACTAGGCCCTTTTCACCATAGATGGTGAAATGCAACCATCCTAAATCTTCCACCCTCAAGTAACTTACATTCTACTGAGATGAACCCAAGGCAGTTTGAGAAGGGAGAGAGCATTATTAGCAAATTGGAGACATCAAGGAGGGCTTTAGAGAGGAGAAGGCCTCCTTAGCTGAGCTGTGAAGGGCAGCGAGAGCCATAGCAGGACAGGGTGGAAAGAGCTCTAGCACTGGAGTCATAGGGCTTGATGCTTTATCATCTGTGTGAGCCTGGACAAGTCACTTCAACACTCAGGGCCTCAGTTTCTTCATCTGTAAAACAAAGAGATTGGAAAGCAGGCAGACTTGGAAGTTCCTTCTAACTCTAAATCCATGAGGCGGCCACGATGGATATGGCAGATAAAGAGTGGAGAGTCAAGGATGACTCTCAGGTTATGAACCCAGGGCCCTGGAAGGATGGCGGTGCCATTGGCAGGGTTCCTAGGGTCATAGGCACCTGTGTCAGCTTGGGTTCCGGGCTTGTTCTCCTTAACACACACAGTGAGTACCAATGAGGAGGCAAGAAATGATGAAGTCTAGGTCAAGGCTAGCCTGCTGCTGCCTTTCTGAATGGTACCAGCTCAGGTTCTTCGTGGTTCCCATCCCAAGGGAAGAGCACTAGGGGTCAGGGGATGGCTCTGGACAAAGATGACAAGAAGCATCTTCTGCCTTAGAGGGGAACGACCTCATGACCTACTCCTCTGGGCATGTCTCTAGCTCTTTAAGAGTGACTTCCTCCTCCTTCTCCTCCCCTTAATCCCCTGTGTCCCATCCCTCCCCTTCAGGTCCTGAGGACTCATGTGAAGCCTACAGGTATGTTCTAGGGCCAAACAAGGTGTCCTATGTGGTCCCTCGCTTCAACGGGGATGAAGAAAGGTTCTATGTAGAAGGACTTTCCTTCCCTGATGCTGGCTTTGCCGGGCTCATCACCTTCCATGTCACCTTGTTGGATGATTCCAATCAGGTATGAAGGGTGAGGCTGGGGGGATACATGGCATTGGGCATTGATGCTAGGCTGTAGGAGTGGGTAGGGAAAAGGGCTGTGCTCTCAAGGCTGTTGGCCATGACATAGACATGGAAAGGAGCCAATAGAGTTGGGTCATCTCTTCAGAGGAGGCTTCACCTGGTCCTAGGAGGTTGGGCCTCTGATGTTCCGAACGCTCCAGGGCCTTTCTCCCAGTGGTGCTGCAAGTACAGGTCAGCCCAGGTATTCTTGGGGGAATGCTAGTTTCAATATCCAGAGTTCAGTCATGGGATCATTCATGTACATCTTGTCCATGCCTCTAGAATTGTCTAGATGTCAGTCTTAATCCCCTCTCATCTCCCTTGCCACCGCCCCCTCCACTAAGCATCAGTCTTCCCAAACTCAACCATCATCTGGCCACCTCCTTATTCCACTGTCAGTGAGGAAGAGCAATTGATTAGAGTGTGATAGTGAACGACGTCAATAATCCTGTGAAGAGTATCATCCTCTTTGCCACTCTGAGGTTGCGTGTAGGCACCTTATTAAAGCAGAGAGAGAGAGCTTGAACCTCTGAACTGAAGTTAAGACTCCCACCCCAGTTATAATGGATAAGACCCCCACACTCATAATAATAGCATAGTTGGAGTGTGTTTAGGGAGAACAGAGATCCAAATGAGACCTTTCTACGGTAGAGTAGAACACCTCTGAGGAGTTTGGTTATCTGGGGGTTTTCTCTGTGTGTCTATGTTTAGGTTGCCTTGGGGGTGTGTGTGTGTGTGTGTGTGTGTGTGTGTGTGGTGTGTGTGTGTGTCCCTGGGGAAAGCTTGATGTTATGGACTGTACTTTGAGCCGCCTGAGTTCTCAGACATAAAGCACACCAAAGAGTAGATGGTGGTGACTATGTCCTAAGGTGAGTGACTGTGCACCCTTGACAACACCCTCTGAACCCTTCCTTATTCCCTTCAGTGAGCTTGGTTCAGAAATTACCAGACCCCGGAGGTCCATAGTTTCCCAACATCTTGTTGACTGGGGCCTGGCTCAGAATTCTTCCAGAGCTTGATGAAGCACTGCTCTCTAAGAATCATCGACTGATGAGGCTTCTCTGATCCTTCCCCACAGGATTTTCCGGAGTCCCCGATCTTCACAGACACTGTTGTATTCCGTGTGGCCCCCTGGATCATGACCCCAAGCACCCTCCCGCCCATAGAGGTGTATGTGTGCAAGTGAGTCTGATGTCAGGAGATGGTGAAGGGGAATGCTGGGGAACTTGGGGGTGCTCCCGTTTCATCTCTCTCAGTCCCCTGGACATTTCTTGAGACACCTAACCTACTGACCTGTCCACAGAGTAAGGAATAACACCCACTTTGTGGAAGCAGTCGCACAATTGGCGAGGAAAGCGGGCTGCAAGCTGACCATCTGTCCCCAGGCTGAGAATCGCAATGACCGTTGGATACAGGTGAGGACGCCTCTCTATTCCCAAGAGGCAGCATGAAGAATTGGTGGGGCATAGAGAGAGAGAAGGAGAGAAAGAGAGGGAGAGAGAGAGAGCGAGAGAGAGAGAGAGAGAGAGAGGAGGGAGTGAGGAACGGGGGAGGAGAGAGGAGACAGAGAGAAAGGCAGAGACAGAAAGGGATAGAGAGAGGAGGGAGGGAGGAGGGAGAGAGGAGACAGACAGAGAGAGAGAGAGAGAGAGAGAGAGAGAGAGAGAGAGAGAGAGAGAGAGGCAGAGACAGAGACAGATGGAAAGACAGACAGAAAGACAGAGAGAGAGACAGAGAAGGGAAGGAGAGGGAGAAGGAGGAGGGGGAGAGGAAAGAGAGTGAGAGAGATAAGAGAGAGAGGGAGGAGAGAGACACAGAGATGAAAAAGGGAGAGAAGAGAGACAAAGAAAGAGAAGCAAGAGAGAGATAATGAAGAAGGGGGAAAGAGAGAGGGAGAGACAGAGCATCTGAGGATGTAGGGCTTGATTGACCCCTCTCCCCTTGGAAGGACCATGCTAAGACATTCTAAGACCTTTATAAACAGTCTCCATTATCCTGAAGGAAGGGAGTCCTGAGTTCAAATTTGGCCTCAGACACTTAGTAGCTGTGTGACTCTGGGCACAATTGCCTCAGTTTCTGTAAACTGTAAAATGAGCTGGAGAAGGAAATGGCAAACCACTTTGTCAAGAAAACCCCAAATAGAGGCCTGAAGAGTAGATCATAACTGAAAAACAGCTAAACAACAATCTGTTTCTTCATAGGATGAGATGGAATTGGGGTATATCCAGGCTCCACACAAGACTTTCCCTGTGGTCTTTGACTCCCCACGCAATGGCGAGCTGCAGGACTTTCCCTACAAAAGGATCCTGGTGGGTCCCTTCCTAACCTTCAGGCTTATTTCTGGCCGGCACCATAGGGCCAAACAGCAGCTTCCACCTGGATTCTCCCCAAGGACCATCTAGACAGAGGGGGCAGGGGCGGGAAGGTGGGGAGGCCGCTCATGCCTGATCCCTAATGGGGGCCTCTGGTTTGTCAGCATCCATTCTTGTGAATCTATTCAAGTGACTCGCCTGTTATTCAGTACTCCAGTGAGGGTACCCTAGACAAAGTAATGAGTAACATAGAGAGAGACCTGGAAAAGGTCAGAGGTGTAAGGAGAAACTAGAATGGAGAATGTCAGAACTGGGAGAGGCCTTACAGCACAGAATGTCAAAGCTGGGAGAATCTTAGAACACAGAATGTCAGAGCTGAGAGGGGCCTTAGAACACAGAATGTCAGAGGTAGAAGGGACCTTAGAACACAGAATGTCAGAGCTGGGAAAGACCTTAGAACACAGGATGTCAGAGGTAGAAGGGACCTTAGAACACAGAATGTCAGAGGTAGAAGGGACCTTAGAACACAGAATGTCGGAGCTGGGAAGGACCTTAGAACACAGAGTGTCAGAGCTGGGAAGGACCTTAGAACACAGAGTGTCAGAGCTGGAGAAACCTCAGAACACAGAACAGAGATATGTTTATAGAGATAAAGGGGACCTGAGAACCCAGAATGTCACAGCAAGATCACTTGGAGTTTATCCAGCCAGAGTCCCTAATTTAATCCTCCAAATGAGGAGCTTTGGTTCTTTTGCTGTAAAATGCAGAGCTCCACCACCTTCCTGGTGGGAAGAGGACAGAGAGGTCAGGAAGTCCGACTCTTCCCTTCTTCCTGACTCATGCACCTGCGCACCACATGATGAGTAAGCCATGGTTCCTCTTGTGGCCTCAGTTTCCCAATCTGCAGAGGGAGTAAAATGTTCTCCAGTGCCTCCAAGGATCCCCTGTGAGCCAGAGAGAACCCAGAGCTGCCATGGGACTTCACAAGCATGTGGGGAAATGGGCATCTGTGGCCTGTGCCCTTTCCTGACTCTGTCCTCTCCCCCTCTGCCCAGGGCCCAGACTTTGGCTACGTGACCAGGGAACCACGGGATAAGTCTGTCAGTGGCCTAGACTCCTTTGGGAACTTGGAAGTCAGCCCTCCCGTGGTGGCCAATGGGAAGGAGTACCCCTTGGGAAGAATCCTTATCGGGGGCAACTTGCCTGGGTAAGAGGGAATGAGAGGGATGGGGCATCCTGGCATAGATATTGGAGGTGCTGGTACAGAGCGGGAGGGTGAGGGAGCAGACATTTATATAGCTCCTACTATGTGCTGGGCACTATGCTAAAGGCTTCACAAATATTGCTCACTTGATCCTCCCAATGACCCTGTGAGGGAGGAGCTATTATTATCCCCATTTCAGATTCGAGGAAACTGAGGTAGGCAGAGTTAGGTAATTTGCCCAGGTTCTCACAGTTAGCAGGTGGGTAGGCTTCTGAGGCTGGATTTGAACTCAGGACTTCCTGACTCCAAGCCAGAGCTCTATCCACTGTGCCACCTAGCTGCCCCCTCCCCAAGACAGGGAAAATGCTGGCAAGCTGTAGTCAGAATGCACTGATTTAATCTCATAGACATTTATTGAGTGCCTAATATATGCAGAACCTTGTCCGAGCACCTGGGAGATACGGAGTTTAGGAAAGACACAATCCCAGCTCTCTTGGGGTGTATGGTATAGTTCTGGGAATAAATAGGAGTCCTTAGCGTAGACTAGTTCCCAAAGGGCTTTATCCAAATGCTGCCCTGCCATTTTCTAGCTGTGGGACCTTAGATAAGTCTCTGAGCCTCTTCTGTTAAATGGGGGAAGAGGCACCTGGTACTGCTATGCCAGCCTCACCAGGTTGTTATGAGAAGCAACCTAGCAAGGGTCTACAAAATTAATTTGAAAACAGTAAGAGTCACTAGTGAGTATTTAGTGCTTAAAGGTTTGCAAAGCAATTTACATCCCTCATCTCACCCAAACTCCCTGATCATCCTGGGAGGTAAGTGATATCAGTATCCTCATTTTACAGATAAGGAAACTGAGGTTCAGAGAGCTGAAAGGACCTGCCCTGTGGTCACACAGCTAGTGAGTGTTGAAGGAAGGATTTGAACTCACACCCTCCTGATATAGTGCAGCCTTCATTGCCCTGAACCATACTGTAAACTGTGAAGTGTCATATACATATCTGAGCATTTTTGCTATTGCTGTGATCTTACCTTCCACAGATATGGTGACCCCCAATCCCCAAGTAGCCCTGGGAAGGAACCATGAAGGGAGAGCAAACGGTCTCCCCAACCAAGATGCACAGGCACAATTAGCATGGCTAGAGCTCTCCCTGAGAGGCAGCCCAGCATCTTGGATAGAGGGAAGAGGGGTACAAGTCTAAAATTGCAGAAAAAATCCAGGCCTCCCTTAGGAGAAGAATTTAACTCATTGGGCTTTCCCTACATGAATGAAATCAGAGTTTTCATTAAACAAAACAAAACAAATCCCTCCGGTTCCACACAAAATAGCCTCTGTCACAGAATGACAGGCCCTCGGAGCTGGTCTGGACCTCAGAGGCTGTCCGGTGCATCCCTTATCTGAGCAGGAATTCACAAGTCCTTGACCAATGGCCATCTGTCCTCCGCCCGTAGACTTCCATCCATTGGAGGGGCAACCCTGTGGCAGCTCGTTCTGCTCATGCACAGCCTCAGCATTAGGAAGGTCTGCTTCTTATGGACCAAAGTCTGCCTCCCCAACCTTCGGCCCCCAGCCCTGCTCTGCCCTCTGGGGCCAAGCACATCAAGACTGACCCCCTCTTCCATGTGACTGCCCTTTAAATGCTGTAAGACTCAAAATCAACCTCTAGTCTCCTTTGTGGGCCCAGCTACTACCTCCTACAATGCCCACAGCCAGAGAATAAGACATCTGAAAAATCTGGTGGGTCTCTGAAGGTCCCACTCCCTGCCCTCTGGCACTGGGCACACCCTTCAATACCTCAGGGACTTCCAACTTCACTCTCCCATCATAAGAACCAGCCCTCCGTGCTTCAGCAGGTGATTTCATGCTGTGGCTAACATAAATAAGTGGCCAAAGCCCTGGGGTGACAAGCTTCTCCCTAATGAGTTGGGCTGGGCCTCTGATGAAAGATGGCCCTTCTGTGGCCAGGCTGGTACACAAAGCGTTTCCAGCTTTGACAGAACCTGCCCCAGACATAGGGTCACCTCCAGGTCATAATGAAGACCACTAGAATCAGAGCAGGAAGGGACTTTGGATTGAGCTACTGAAGCTTTCAACTGCACTAAGACTTTTGGGACACCCTCCGTGTATATGTGGGTATATATATATATGTGTATGTGTGTGCTTAATGTAGATAATATAATCACCCTGCATATAGCCCTTGATAGCATATATATATATATATATATATATATATGGAGAGAGAGAGAGAGGGAGAGTTTATATGTGTGTATAATAGAAATAATATATATTACTTTGCATATAGCCCTTTATAGCATATATATTTATATGGGCATAATAGAAATAATATTTTATATAGAACATATATATACCACATTATACATATATACATATGTGTACATATACAGTACACATATACATGTGTGATTTATTTTTATATATTTTATTTTTTATATTTTATTTATAAATACATGTATAGATATATTTTATTTATAAATATATGTATAGGTATACTTTATTTACAAATATATTTAAGTTTATATTTTATTTATAAATATATATATGTATAATAGAAATTAACATATCACCTTTATGATTATTATGGCCCATTATAGCATGTATATTTATGTGTGTATAATAGAAAGGATACATTAATATATATTTATATATAACATACACATATCACTTTATACATATACACATACCTATAAATGCATATACATGTATGTATATATGTACAATGTGATGTACATATGTTCTACATAAATGTGTGTATATGGTATATATATCTATAACCTTACAGTATATATTTATATGCATGTACATATGCTCATGTGCATGCATAGAAAGACATTTATATAGTTAGAGGCTAAGAGCATTGGATCTGAAATCAGGAAGTCCTGAGTGCAAATCCAGCCTCAGGCATTTATTAGCTGTGTGACCCTGGGCAAGTCACTTAACCTTTGCCTCTCCCGTTCCGTTGCTCTCAGGGTTGTCATGAGGCTCAGATGAGATGACATTTGTAAAGCACTTTAAAAACCTTAAAGTGCTATATAAATGCATGTTATTGTTATGATCTTTGCCAAGAAAACCTCAAATGGGGTTACAAAGAGTTGGACATGACTGAAACAACTGAACAGCAAAAATAAATATTATTAATAATATTAATAACTCATTTGAGGGAGGTGATATCATCCCCATTCTATAAATAAGAAAATTAAGGCTGGATAAGTTTTGGAAGCATTGTGGATATAGTGGTCAGAGCGTCGGACTTGGGATCAGAAAGACGGGTTCAAATCCCATTTCAGACACTTACCTAAGCTATATGAATCTAGGGAGGTCACAAGTTTCTTTGTGCCTCAGTTTCCTCATCTGAAAAAGAAAGGCTTGAAGGGACAGCTAGGTGGCACAGTGGATAGAGCACCGGCCCTGAAGTCAGGAGGACCCGAGTTCAAATCCAGCCTCAGACTGAACACTTGACACGTGCTAGCTGTGTGACCCTGGGCAAGTCACTTAACCCTGATTGCCTCACTAAAAAAACAAACAAAGAAAAAAGAAAAAGAGAGTCTTGGACTCTGGTCTCTAAGGCCCTTTCTAGCTCTAAGTCAATGATGCTAGTTCATGGTGATGCAGCTCATAGAGTCATGGATTTAGAACTGGGAGGGGCTTAGAGTCCATCTGGTCCAGGGGTAGAGAGCCTGTAGCCTCCAGGCCACATGTGGCCCTCTAGGTCCTTGAGTGTAGCTCAGTCCATCAAAGGGCCACACTTAAGCACCTAGAGGACCACACATGGCGTTGAGGCCACAGGTTCCCTACCCCCAATCTAGTCCAACCCTCTCATTTTACAGTTGAGGAAACTGAGGCATAAAGAGGTTCAGTGACTTGTCCAAAGTCATACAGATAAATAGTAGGTGGCAATGGTGAGATTTTCACTGCAGTATTCTCAGTCCACATACACTGATGCTTCTATTACACCAGCTGCTTCTCACATCAGAGTCAGGAATCAAATCCATATTTTCATTTCAAATCCACAGCCTCCATTCAGTCACACTGAGGCCTGCAGAGGGGAAGTCATTTGTTGGAGGTCACAGGGCCAGTGAGGAGCAGAGAGATGAAGCCAGGGCCTCTCACTCTCAGGACGTTGCTCCTTCCCTTATCATCCGCTGCTTCTCCTCGCTCTCCTGAGACATCCTGCACGGAGAGCTCTTGGCCTCACCCCTCCCCTCCGACCTCAACTCTCCCAATGATGCTCACCTGGGTACAGCTAGACCAGGTGACGACGGCATAGCTGGCCAGCTGAGGCCCTTCCCAAAGTACTGCCCATTGAATTTTTGAAAATTACTAAAATAGAGAAAAATAATGGTATCTTAGGATGTTGGTAGTAAAAGGTCCCTAGAGCGTGAGGTGAAAGGAACGTTAGGAAATAGAAAGTCAGAGCTGGAGGGACCTTGGAGCACAGAATGTCAAGGCTGGTGGAACACTGGATTTGGAGTTCAAATCCCAGCTCTGCTATTTAATACCTGTGTGACCTCAGGCAAGTGACTTGACATCCCTGGGTCTCCTTTTCCTTATTTGTAAAACAAATATCAGACAGGTTTTGTTACTGTTGGGTCATTTTTAAACCATGTTCTACTCTTTGTGACCCCATTTAGAGTTTCCTTGGCAAAGATCCTGGAGCGGTTTGCCATTTCCTTCTCCAGCTCACTTTACAGATAAGGAAACAGAGGCAAACAGGGTGAAGTGACTTGCCCAGGGTCACACAGCTAGTAATATCTGAGGCCAGATTTGAACTCAGATCTTCTGACTCCAGGTTCTGTTCACTGAGCTTCCTAGACACATAGCAGGTGCTTAATAAATGCTCTGTTGCTTGATTAAAGTGAACAGTCCAGACTAAATGATACTTAAGATTCTCCCCAGCGTTATACATATCCTTCTATGACCTTAGAGTGCAGAATATTAAGTCTGGAAGGGGCCTTACTTATCATCCCTTCCATTTTCAGCTGGGGAAAATAAGTCCCAGAAAGAAGTAATTTGTTTAAGACCTTATAGCATTGCTGGGAAATTCCAAGTCAGTGTGCCTTCCATCCCACTACTCGGCCTCTCCTGGGTGATTCTGCCTAGCATCTCTGGGCTTTGGACTGTTCATTTCATTTCTAAAAGTCGATTGACACGCCTCACCCTTATAGACCACCACAGCTTTCCCTGCTCTCCCACTTCAATCCCTTGAACACTTGGGCATTTTGGAGTTTCATGACTCCCGACTGAGTTAACAAAGATTTCTCATCAACACCAATTCTTTTCTAACTCTGAATTCTGTGCAGATTTCTGAGGGTGCTGGGGTCTCTGAAGATTCACTTGGCTCTGGTGTGATTATAAGTGGGAGCCCCCTAATGGGGCAGAATTACTAGGATTCTTAAACTCAGGTGTTGATTGGCTTTGCTGGCTACAGTCCTCCTCCTACTGCCTGATTAGCTGCATTGCTGTTAAGAGAATATAAACTCTTTCGTTATGGGTTGCAGGAACGCGAGAATACAGAGTATTAGAAAGCAGAATGTGAGAGCTGGGAGGGAATGTTAGCAAAGAGAGAGACAGAGAGAAAGAGAGAGGAGAGAGAGAAAGAGACAGACAGAGATAGAGAGAGTGAAAGGGAGGGAGAGGGAGGGAGGGAGGAAGAGAGAGGCAGAGACACAGAGAAAGAGAGAGACAGAGAGAGAACAAAAGAGAAGAGTAAGAGAAGAGATAGTGAAAGAAAGAAGAAAGGAAATAGAGAGAAAAAGAGATTTAGAGATAGAGATAGAGAGGCACAGAGACAGAGAAACAGAGAGAAAGAGACACAGAGAGAGAGAAAAAGGCAAAGACACAGAGATGCAGAGACAGAAGAGAAGAGAGGAGAGGAGAGAAGAGAGAATGAGAGAGAAGAGAAAGAGAGGAGAGAAGAGAGGGTGAAAGAAAAAAGAAAAGGAACAGAGAAGAAGAGAGATTGAGAGCGTTTTTAACTGCTTGCATTCTAATGGTCTCATTAGATTACTGGATGAAGCTCATGATGGGAATTTTATTCTGGAAGCATAGACCTTATTCAAAAGAAAGAGGACGGGGCAGCTAGGTGGTGCAGTGATAGAGCTCCAGCCTTGGAGAAGGAGGATCCGAGTTCAAATCCAGTCTCAGACACTTGACACTTACTAGCTGTGTGACCCTAGGCAACCCCAATTGCTTCACCAAGAAAAAGAAATATATTGCTGAATTCAATTTATCCCCCATTTTACAGATGTGGCAACTGAGGGTCAAAGTGAGGAAGTGCCTTTCCAAGGTCTCATAGCTAGTAAATGGCAGAGCTGGGATCTGGACTCAGATCTGCTACCCAGCGCTCTTACCATTACACTATGTTAACAACTCATGGATTCAAATCTCCAAGGAGAGGGAAAGGTAGTGACTGAAGTTTATTACTGAGATAAAAATGGCTGATAGTAGGGGCAGCTAGGTGGCACAGTGGATAGAGCACCGGCCCTGAAGTCGGGAGGACCTGAGTTCAAATCCGGCCTCAGACCAAACACTTGACACTTACTAGCTGTGTGATCCTGGGCAAGTCACTTAACCTCAATTGCCTAAAAAAAAAAATGGCTGATAGCAGACTCTTTCCTGAGAGCAGAGAGGACAAAGAGAATGGAATTTATCTCCAGCACCGGCAGAGTGCTCCAATACAGACTGTAAGTTTCTTGAGGGCAGGGCCAGAGTCGGGTTTCTGTTTGTAACCCCCAGCACCTAGCATAGTGCGTGTTCCCTGCATGGAGTAGGTGCTTAATAAATGTTCGTTGAACTAAATGGATCTAATCCAGCCGGGCTAACCAACGGGTGCTAATCTTGGCTTCGCCATTTTTTAATCATGGGACTGGCCCGGACCTGAGTCCTTGCACTGACTACTGAAATGGGCCCAGCGGAGGGTGAGGAGCCCGAGCTCAGACCTGCCTGGCTCCCACCCACCTCTCGAGGTCCTTTTGAGGTCTATGAGACTTGGTACGTTAAGCACAAGTAACAACCTGTACCAAGCGCCGCACAAAGTCTGCTCTCTTCCACTATCTCCTTCCAGCCTGGAGTTGATCCTGGTGGGCTTTCAAGGGCTGGGCCTTTGGAACGTGAATGTTGACAAATCTTACCAAGCTGGAAAGGTTTCAAGACAGTGCCTCTATTGTCAGAGGACCTGCCTGGCTAAGGGCAGAGACCCTGAGCACCAGAGTGGTTTAGCCAACAGGACGTGGGGAGGGGTCGGCAGGGAAAAAGGGGGTGAGGTCAGCTCCATGAGAGGTGGAGGGGTTGTATCCTAGCACGGAGGACCCACCCTGATGAAATCATGGAATCAAATGACCAGGAATCAAAGCCTAATTAAAGTCACTAAATGAAATTTACTCTGGTCTCTGCCCAGGGCCATTTGATCTACCGGGATCCCTCTTGAGTCACCCATCTTGTCTGAGTAGATGCTTAGGATGGATCTGGGGTGTGTGTGTGTGTGTGTGTGTGTGTGTGTGTGTGTGTGTGAGAGATTTCTTTTAGTCACAGACCTCCTTAGTGTATATTCTCAGTAATGGGATTACTGAATCAAGGGGTGTAAATAGTTTAAAGACTTTTATCACATAATTCCAAATCGTTTCCAAGAATAGCTATACCTATTCATAGTTCCCGCAATAATGTCTGTTTGTGTGCTTGTCTTCCCATAGCCTCTCCAGCATCAACAGTTTCCATCTTTCATCATCTTTACCAATATGGTGGATGCAAGGTGAAAGTTTAGAGTGGTTTTCATCTTCATTTTTTTCTTACTGTTATTGATGTGGATACCTATTTTTTTCATGTGGTCACCTGATAATGCACATTTCTTCTGAAAACTGTGCATACCTTGGAGCATCCATCCACTGAGAAATGGCGCTAGGGGCTGCTAGATGGTGCAGAGGATAGAGCTTTGGCCCTGGAGTCAGGAGGACCTGAGTTCAAATCCAGCCTCAGACACTTGACACTTACTAGCTGTGTGACCTTGGGCAAGTCACAACCCCAGTTGCCTCACCAAAAAGCAAAAGAAATGATGCTTTGTCTCTAATATTTGAGCCACTTATTTGGGTTCCTTCTGAGGGATGTTTTGTCCACTTTTTTCACTCCAGATCTGGTGGAAGGCGGGTCACGCAGGTGGTCCGGGACTTCCTGTACGCCCAGAAAGTTCAGCCTCCCGTGGAGCTCTTTGTGGACTGGCTGGCTGTGGGCCATGTGGATGAGTTCTTAAGCTTTGTTCCTGTCCCTGATGACAAGGTAAGGTCCCCCAAGGAAGGCCCTTCATCAGCTCTTGAGGGTCCAGTGGTGCGGTTTCATCTCTTCCGAGGCCTTTCTGCAGCTTTCCAAAGGTGATAGGTTTTATGACCATCATTGTTGTATGCTCTTATTATGTATGCATGAGCACAGACAAGAGACAACATGGAACCCTGGAATTTGGGTTGGATTTGGAGTCAGAGGCCTTAACTTTGCTACTTCTGAGCTGTATAATCTTGGGTAAAGCCCTAACCCTAATTGTGCTTGCCCTCAAAGAGCTTACATTCTGTTGGGTGTTTGGAGCTACCCAGACTGGCTGGTAGGGGTCTGGACTTTAGTTCTAAATCTGTGCTCCTGTAACTATAAAGAGTAAAGATGTGTAATCCCTTGGCATCAGGTACTTACCTCTGCTAGCATCCATGCCCTTAGATGCTCAGGTGGCCAAAGCCTGGCCCTGTGGTGACACTGCCCCTGGGGCTGCTGAAGTTAGCAGGAAGCCTGGCCGTGGACCCCTGGACCCTTTGGGTGCTGCCTACAGAGCAGGGTCAGAATCCTTGCCCTCTGTGCATGGACTGCATCAGGAGCCCTGGTTGAGGGCATCTGCCTTTCTCCATACAGGGTTTCCGCCTGCTTCTGGCCAGCCCTAGCGCATGCTTCAAACTTTTCCAGGAGAAACAGAAATGGGGCCATGGAAGGGCCCTCCTGTTTGAAGGTGTTATGGGTGAGTTCTTTGTTGTGTTACTCTTCCTCATCCTTGCCACTAAGGTCCTGCTTGGCCCCTTCCCTTCCCTTCCTATGTCTTCAGTCCCTCAGCTCCACCAGTACCAGAGATCTGGGGAGAGACGCCAGAGGCCCTCTAATCCAATGTGTTCAATATGCCTCCCAGAGGAGGAATCAGAGCGGTTATCTGGCCTTCCTTTGTTGACCTCCAGAGAGGCAGCTCTGATTATTAGGACGTTTCTCCTCACTGAGGTTTCCTACCTGCTCTACTCCTGGCTCACGGGGCTAGTTAGAAACCACTGACGAACAAGTCACAAGGCATTGTGGAAGGGACGGAGAAGAAGACACAGTCCCTCCTTTCAAGATGGTGTCACTAGGAGAGAGAGAAAGCACTGTCCTGGCAGCCTGAAGGCCTGCCTCTGACACTATGCTGTATGACCCTGAACAAATCACTTTTCTCTCTCCAGGCCTCAGTTTCCTCATCTGTAAAATGAGAGGTTTGGACTTAGATATTCTGTAAACTTCTTTCTGACTCCCCAATCCTAGGATCACTTATTAGCCACATGACCTTGGGTCTCTCTCCAAGCCTCAGTTTCCCCATCTGTAAAATGGTGATGCCTCAGGGGATGAGGAAAAAGTTTTCAAAATCTTAAATATGCCCAAAAATACCACAGAAAACGTGAATGGTTATGATTTAAGGAATGCTAATAAGAATAACAGCTCCCATTTCTATGAATTTGACTATTTTATATAACACTTTCCTCACAAGAGCCCTGTGACTCATTCTCATTTTATAGAGGAAGAAATTGAGACTCAAATATCATTTTTATGTTATAGATGGGGAGATTGCAACTCAGATGTTATTATTCTCATTTTACAGTTGGAGTAACTGAGGCTTAAATAATATTTTATAGATAGGGAAACTGAGGCTCAAATATTATTATTCTCATTTTACAGATGGGGAAACAGGCTTAGAATGGTGAGGTGACTTGTCCACGTCTCACAGCTAACAAGCGATTGTGAGATTTAGACGATCTTAGAGATAATTTACATATACCCCCAATACCTGCATCATTTTTCAAGTGAAGAAACAGAGCCCCAGAGAAGGAGGTGACTTGGGACCTTGGCGTTTTTGACTCCAGAACCAGTAGTCTCTCTCTGGCCCAGAACAGCTGTTGTGGCAGGGCTGAAGCTTAAACCCAGACCTTCTAGCTACAGCTTTGAGGCTTTCTTTATGATCCTCCCCCCCCCAACTGCCTCACAGTCTAGCTGGCAAGAGAGCTTATCTGTGTGTGGAAGGACAACTCAGCATTCCAAGGAATAGATATCCAGTGTCAAATGAGGGAAACAGTCACTGAGTCACTCAACAAGCCTTTATTAAGTCCTGATTATATGTTAGGCACTGTTCTAAACACTGGGGACACAAAGAAAGGCAAAAAATGAAAGCCTGCCCTCACAGGGTTTCCATTCTAATGGGGGGGACAGCATGTAAATGAGGAGGTACATCTAAGTTGTAGCACAAGAGGGTCTAGAGAGGGGCAGAGATGGTGGTCTGGACCACTTCCTGGAGGAGACACCCTCCCCAGAGCAGACCAGAAAAATCCTCAGGATTTCAGGGCTCTGGGCAGCGTTCCAACAAAACCTTCCCCGCCCAGGGCCCCTGGGCACATACCTGGCTGCCTCTGGAATGCTCTGATCTAATCACGGGGCCTCAAACCACATTAGCCCAAGTTGTCTCTGGAATCAGTGAGAACAGCACGATGGAGTGGGAAAAGGGGAGGACCCAGAGTTAGGAGAGACCAGGTTTTGTATCCTGCCTTTGAAGCTGTGAGACCCCGGGAGAGTCACAGGGCAGCTCGGCTCCCACCCTCCCTGACTCATCCGGTCTGCTCTGCTTGGCCGCCCACTAGTGAGCATCAGCTGTCACATGATGTTGTAGGTGGAATGTTTGTCCAATCTGTGGGTGTCCCAAGCTGGGAGGTGTAGCTAGCATGCTGGATGACAGAACCAAGGTCCAGAAAGATGTCACCAGGCTGCAATATTAGGCCCAATCTAATAAAAGAAATTTAATAAGGAGAAAAACTTGTAGAAAGACTACAGGATGGGAAAATTTGACCAGAAAATGGTTCGGGTGAAAAAGATCTGGGGGTTTCAGTGGACTGCAAGCTCAATATTAGACCACATTGTGACATGGCCAGTACACACACAAAAAAGTGAATGCTTTTAGATTGCACTAATAGGGGGGCAGCTAGATGGCACAGTGGATAAGCACTGGCCCTGAAGTCAGGAGGACCTGAGTTCAAATCTGGCCTCAGACCAAACACTTGTCACTTGCTAGCTGTGTGACCCTGGGCAAGTCACTTAACCCCAATTGCCCAAAAACCAAAAAAAAAAAAAATTTTAGATGGCAGTAATAGAAGCAGAGTTTCAGAATGAGGGTAGGGGTAGCTCCACCCTGGTCAGACTATGACACTTCAGTTCGGGGGAACACAAAATAATTGATGCCGGGGCAGCGAGGTGGCACAGTGGCTACAGCAGTGGCCCTGGAGACAGGAGGACCTGAGTTCAAATCCGGCCTCAGACCAAACGCTTGCCACTTACTAGCTGTGTGACCCTGGGCAAGTCACTTAACCTCAATTGTCTCACCAAAAAAAAAAAGAGAAATTAACCAAAGAAAAAATAATTGATCCCCAAATTGCTTGCCTTCTCAATGACTTGGGGAGGGAAGAGAGGAAGAGAATTTGGAACTCAAAAATTTTTAAAATGAATGTTAAATTGTTTTTCTACATGTAATTGGGGAAAAAATAAAATATTAAAGTTAAAAAATTGATACCATTTGTTTAAATGTTCCGCTCCCATAGTCCCTCACTTCTACAAAAAAAAAAGGGAAAAAAGCACATCTTTTCATCTGTTCTATGGGGCTACATCTTTGAAAGGATGCTGACAAACTAGAGTGTATCCAGAAGAGAATGTGGCCAGCCTGGGGGGTGGGGGTGGGATGGTAGATCATTTCATGGGAAGCCAGTAGAAGGAATTGGCTGGGTCTTGTTTGGAGAAAAGAAGGCATAAGAGAACCACAGTAATGGTCTTCAAGTATGTGAAGGGATCTCATGAGGGAGGAGAAATTTGCCTCATTCTGCTTGGCCCCAGAAGATAGAACCAGGAGCAATGAGTAGAAATCACCAAAAAACCTTTCTAGTCTTGGAAAAAAAAACAACCCTCTCCAGTGATGAGTGTCCAGAGGGGGAGTGGGCCATCTCTGCAGGTAGGGAGTTCTCTCTCACACTAGGTCTTCAAGTAGAACCTGGATAAACACCATATAGATACATCATAGCGGGGATTCCTGTCCAGGGACGGCAGCCTCTGTTGTCCTTTCCCACCCTGAAATTCAATGATTCTACCATATTAGGAAGAGAAACTTAAGTTGTCCTACTCTTAGCCCAGCTCAGCCCTTCCCTGGGCCCCCCTTTCTCCTCTTCCTCAGGGCCTGACCTCCCTTCCAGGAATTCATTTCAGGCTTTCTATAATTCAAAGGCACTGACACCTCTGGGAAGTTGTAAGATGTCTGAGGGACGAGGTCACCGTGCAGAATTACAACACCCTGGCCCCCCCCCCCCCCCCCCCGCCCCACATGCTTGCAAAACTGCTTTGCTAAGTAAGAAGGTGTCTGGTCAACCTGCAAAAATATATTGACTCAGTGTCTGAGAACTTGAACCCTGCCTTCTGATTTAAAGCCCTCAAAGCAATAGGATTTTAAAGGACTAATTTTTTTTTTAATTACTGATGGTAATTTCTAACTTGATTTCTCTCCTTCTGTCTCTTTCCCTCCACCCACCATTTCATCTCTCATTCTCTCTGTCTTTGTCTCTTTCCCTTTCTCCTTTATATCTCTCTCTCCCTACTTCTCTCTCTCTCTCTTTCCCTTTAACTCTGTCTGTCTCTCTCTTCCTCCCTCCCTCTCTCTCTCCCTTTCACTCTCTCTGTCTTTCTTTGTCTCTCTGTCTCTCTCTATCTCTGTCTCTGCCTCCTCTCTCTCTCCTTCACTGTCTCACTATCTCTTTCTGTCTCTCTCTTCTCTATCTCACACTTCTCTGTTTCTCTATCTCTCTCCCTATCTCTGTCTCTCCCCTTCTCACTCTTTACTCCACAGGGAGTTCACAGGTGAAGACCATGTCCATCAATCAGATCCTCTCCAATGAAAACTTTATCAGTTACAACAAATTTGTCCAGGTACTGGGAAGGGGACAGAGAAAATTGAAGACACTCAATAAAAAGTCTCCTTTATGCTTTTTTACGAAGAGAGTCAGAAGGCAGAGAAAAAGAAATTCTACAAGAAAAAACCGTTGCTCCAAGACCTTGCCATACCCAGAAGGGAGCTGCTCTCCCCTGGCTCCTGTGTCTCTCCAATCACACCTGGCATCCTTTGCTGATCCTGGCTTCAAGTTGCTGCTATGGTTCAGTAACTCCTCTGAGTCAGAACAGTTGCAAGGCACAGTGTGAGGTGCTAGTTATTGGGGGCTATCTTTCCCTCTGCTGCTCTGGAAGACTTGTTGAGGTGTGGCCCCAGGTGTAGCCCCAGGTGCAGCCCCAGGTGTGGCCCCAGGTGAGGCCTAAGCAAAGGCAGAAGAGCTTGTTGCTTCTGGAATGTGGTTTAAGGGACACTGAGCAGCCCAAATGAGCTGCAGCTCCCACTACCACAGTCACTCCTTTGGCTGAGGCTCCGGTTTATGTAAACACATTATCTGAGAAGCACAAGATATGAAGCTATTATCTGCTTCTAACAGATTAGTTTATCAGAATGGTGTTGAGAGAGAGATTGGGTGTCATGAGAAGAGCCCTTGATTTGGAGACATAGGGTCCGGATTCAAATCCTATCTCTGTGACCTTGGTTTTTACTTGTCTGCCCCTCAGCTCCCACCTGTAAAATCAGGGGGTTGAACTAACTGATCTCTAAGATGTCTTCTGCCTCTAAATCTATGGTCCAATGATGATCCAGTGACCAGCACAGACACTAATTACATCCAAGGAGATAAGGAAAGCATTGGAAGATGTGATTTCTGAGACACTGATGATCCTTAAGAGGCTGTAGAGAATGGAGGTGGCAAAGCAGGATTGGGGAAGGTCAACATCCCCATTTTCAAAGATGAGAAGAGATTGATGTCTGTAAACAATAGGCCAGTGAGCTTGACTTTGATTTATGGGGAAATTCTAGGATGGTTCATTGAAGAGATGGTTCGTGAAAGTCTAGAAAAGGAAGCAGTGATCATGAAGGACCAGCGTGGCTTCATCACAAAAAGGGCATGCCAGATGAACCCTATTTGAATGAGAGAACAAAAGAGCAGTTATTTGTGTGAATGAAAGAACATTTATTAAATGCTTACTATGCCCCAAGCAGAATAGCTGGGCGGCTAAACGATACAGTAGATTGAGTGCCAGGCCTGGAGTCAGGAAGATTTGTTTCCCTGAGTTCAGATCTGGCCTGAGACACTTACTAGCAAGTCACCTCACCTGTTTTTCTCAGTTTCCTCATCTGTAGAAGGACATGGCAGACCACTCCAGTAGCTTTGCCAAGAAAACCTCAGATGGGGTCAGGAAGAGTCAAACATGACTGAAAAATGACCCAACGAGAACAAAACGCCCCAGTGTGAACATAAGCGCAAAATCGAAGCAGTGTCAGCCTTCAAGGGCATTCAATTCTAATGAGAGAGACCTTACATTTGGGGAAGACGTGGCCAAGGACTGGGTTACTAGGGCAGGGAAATTCTGTAGGTAGAGTCTACCTAGATCTTAGCTAAGCATGTGATAAAGTCACTCATGTATTCTTGTAGATGAGCGATGTAGCTGCTAGAGAGGGAATACTGAATGTAGTGAGGAGGGTGCCTGCCAACAGCTGGCTCTTACTTGACATGGCCTTAGAGCCAGGCTCTGGCTCCCGGGGGAGTTTCTATGATGGTGGAGGGTGAACCCAGGTGATCCTTCATAGAGCTGGACAACATCATATGGGGCTCCTCGCTTAAGCGGTCTGTGGGTTCTCTCCTGGAGCCGAATCGTTCTTTGGTTTCATCTTCCTTCTCTCTCCACTAACTCTGCCTCTCCTTGTCTTTCCCTCGATGCTCACTGCCCATGCTCCCAGAGTTGCATCGACTGGAACCGAGAGGTTCTGAAGCGAGAGCTGGGCCTGGTAGATCGAGACATCATTGACATCCCTCAGCTCTTCAAAACGGAGAGGAGGAAAGCAGTGGCGTTTTTCCCTGACTTGGTGAGGAAGAACGGGAGGATGAATGGTGGTGTCCAATGTCGCTGGGATTATTAGTCCCAATTATTAATAACATCTCCCTAAGTTTCCAACAGCTCCAGGAGGGAGTAAGGCAAGCCTTATCATCCTGCTTAATGAAGGGGAAAGTGTTTTACATTTACCTGGCATGGATGGGACAAGTAGCCGAGAAGGGGCTTAGTGGAAAACTCCAAGACATCCCAGTTGGAAGGCAGGAAGGCCTGATTTCAGTTTCTGCCTCTGGCTAAATCCAATCCAGTGTTTCCATTGTACTTCAAGGTTCACAAAGCACTTGTTTCCATGTCCTTGGGTCCTCAGGACAGCCTAGGGAGGGAGGGAGTTCAGGTTTTAGTATTCCCATTCTACAGGTGAATAAAATGAGGTTTCAAGAAACAAGCACCCTGCTCAAATTCACACAGGTGTGAAGCGAAGATTCAAACTCAGGTCTCCTGATTCCAAAACTGGAGCTTCTTCCTTCCACCCCATTATATCACACTGCCTCCATTTTATAAAGTATAAACTGAGGCACAGATTGGTTAAGTGACTTGTCCAGAAGGACAAAGTTAGTCAGTGGCTAAGCTGAGGTTCAAGCTTAAATCTTTCCACTAGACTGAGTTGCTTCAAATGTTGTCCCCATTGGACTGCCTGGGGCTCTCTCTTATGTCCCAGAGGGTTTCCTATGGCCTGCATGAGGTTCAGTCATTTATCTGTTTTCTTGGAGAAGGAACAAGGATCCCAACAAGGCCATAATGAGCAATCAGAATGGACTTGGAAGAAGAATCAGAAACTTTACGATCACAGATTCAATCCTGGGAGGGGCCTCAGAGACCATCTGGTCCAGTCCTCTCATTTTATAGATAAAGAAACAGAGACCTGGGAAAAGGAAGTATGTCATCCAAAGCTATGCAAGTAGTAAGTGGCAAGGGGGCAGTCTAAGCCAGGTCATCTGACTCCCAATGCAGGGACATTTCTGCTGCACCAAACTCCTTCCCGGGGGCCTGATGGCTGGTCCATAAACCAAGAGAAGTTACTCTTTTGGCCAGTTTGTCTATAGGCAGGCAGGCAGGCTATAAAGCATCCCAGAACCTGACCCTGAATGACCTTTCCTCATAATAACTGACATCTATCCAGCATTCTAACATTGCTCTTTGCTCATTATCTGACTCGAGCCTCATGAGGTAGGCCCTACAGGGATTATTATCTCTATTTTACAGATGAGGAAATTGAAGCTCAGGGAGGTTGTGACCCAAGTCAATGAATCATTTCTTAAGTCCTTACTGTATCATGAAAGCAGTGACTTGCTTAAGCTCTCCCCCAAACCCCTCCAAATACTCATAAAAAATGGCTCTAAAGTGCTTACTGTATGACAGGCATTGTGTAGATGCTCGCTTACATGTAGAGCAAAATAATGTTATGTCAGCATATAAGCTAAGACCTCAACAAGCTTTCACCTTAATAGAAGGAAGCAATGTCTATATCTTCTAAATATCTATATTCATTATCTGCCTATCTTCTATCTGTCTATGTATCTATCTATCTATCTATCTATCTATCTATCTATCTATCTATCTATCTATCTATAGGAGAGTGGTAGTCAGGTAGAGGTATTTGTGTTTAGAAAGTTACCAGGTTATAAAGCCATAGAGAAGTAGATTGACACATCCGTTTTATGATAAAGTTGATTTGATTATGGTTCCAGAACTGGTAAGATGGTGTGTGATGGAGGCAATCAAAGGGAGAGGGAGACATCAGCACTGAAAGAGTTAATTCCTCTAGGGCAGAGTTTCTAGTACAGGAGGCAAAGCTGATGGTAAGAGGATGACCAGGGAAGGAAGTACCAGGGGGAGAATGAAGATGATGATGATGATGATGATGATGGTAATGATGATGGTGGTGGTGGTGGGTGGGCCAGGGTCTTCCTGAGCTGGCCAGTTACAGCACTATAATTCACCATGTTTCACTATCTCCTTTCCAGAAGCTCTGAGCTCTTTTACAGGAAGACTTCCTTCAAGGGGGAATGTACAAAGGATACAGGGAGGGCAGGTGGCTTCACCGGATCATTTGCTGACCCTGTGGTCAGGCTGGACTCTGAGAGATGCCTCCTGATATACAGGCCTATGCTTCTGGACGTGAAAGATAACAAGCTTCTTTCCTCTCCTGTCATGCTTCCTTTGTTCTTTCCTTCCTCTTTTCAGCTAAATCTCCTTTGCCCCCACATTTCAGCCTTGTTTGGAAACCCTCAACATCACTTCCTCTTCCTATCTTTCTGTGAAAGCAGTAGCTGACTTTTAAGATAAGCTTGCAAATAAGTTCAAAACGCCCCAAATGGTTACCAGCCCACCTTTCTTCTGCCCATCCTGGCCCCACCTTACATAATCATAGACTGCAAATGACAATAGGTCACAGGGAACCGTCTGCAAAGCTTCCATCAAAGGAAGCATTCGATTCAACAAAAATCCATTAAGTGCCTACTATGTGCAATGCACTTTCTTGGGCATTTGTAATAGCAAAATAAACTCCGACATAGTTTGTGGCCTCAAAGAGCTTACAGTCAGTCAGTCAGTCAATAGACATTTATTAAGTACCTGTTATATGTGCCAGGTGCCATAGTAAGGACTGAAAATACAAAGAAAGGCAGAAGACAGTCTCTGCTCTCAAGAAGGGGAGTTAACATGCTAACAGTTATGCACAGGAACAGACTAATTGAGGATAGAGGAAATGTGGGCTATATACAATAAGTATGTAGAACACAACAAACAAAACTAACATTTCTTGAGCACCTACTATGTGCAGAATGGCAGAGGATGAGGGTGAGAAGAAGACAGTGAGTCAGGCACTGAACCATTGGAAAGAGTGAAGGGAATGACCTGGAGACAGGTCCTCGGGATCACAGACCTTGAAGGTCATAGAGCCCAACACTTTCAGAGGCCCAGAGGGATGGGGTCACTCACCTAAGGTCACACAGGTAGAGAGTGTGGAAGAGCTAAGATTCAAATCCAGGGTCTTTGACTCCAAATCCAGTATTCTTTCCAATGCATCACTCTGCTCCTCCTTGTAGATACTGGAGGAGAGGGTGGTACAAGGGAATAGAGCAAAGAGGTCATTTGGGGGAAGTGTGATAGAGGTGAAGCGTATAGGTGGGAGTGGGGATCAAGAAGTAGGTCCACCCTTCCTATGGTCCTGAGTCACACACAGGAAGAGGAGTGGCCTTCACGTTAGAAGCAACAAGGTTCTGGGCCTGGATTGGAACCTCAACCCTACCCTATACCACCTGTATAACCTCAAGCAAGGCACTTTCCCTTCTCGACCTCAGTTTCCTCATCTGTAAAATGAGGGAGTTGGATTAGTCACTGAGGATATTCCAGTTCTAAGTCTATCGTCCTATGAATAAGTCACTTAATCTGTCTGGGCCTCAGTTTCCTCATCTGTAAAATGAAGGAGTTGGATTAAATAGTCATTAAGGATATTCCAGTTCTAAGACTATTGTCCTATGAACAAATCTCTTAAACCCTCTGGGCCTCAGTTTCTCATCTGTAAAATGAAGGAGTCAGACTTGATGGTCTCTAAGATCCCTTCCATTTCTAAATCTATGATGCCTTGTGTCAATGAGGAAACTGAAACATTTGGCTTAGACTCCATTGTTAACCTGATGCAGCCCCCTAGTAAGGATAGAAAGGAGTCTTCCAATCCAAATAGTTCTAAAATACAATACTCCATGATTGGCGCTTTAGAGAGGTGAAAACAAAGTCCTCTGCTGACTGAGGACAAGGTCTTAGCTGATTGGGGTGAGAGGAGGGAAGGCTTTCTGGAATCAGGCTTTAATTATGGATGGGCTAGAGAGATTAAGTGCTGGGAGAAATCTGAGGATGGGAGATCACTTTAATCTGGTGGGGCCAGGGAACTGTTGATAGAAGAAAAAGGGAAAGGAGGAGCTTCTACAGAGTCAGAGTCCATGAGGGGAACAAGAAGACTGTTACAAGAATCAGAGGTCATGGCAGAATGAACAAAAGCACAAATATGTGAGAGGGCAAGATGAGAAACAGGAATCCAGTTTGACTGAAATTGAAGAAATGTGAAAAGGAGTTGTATGAGATAAGGCTGGATGGGTAGTGTAGAAGCAGATGGGGAAGGGCCTTGAATGCCAGGATCCTTTATTCATTGAGCCATGAGGAGTGCTAAAGTTCACCAAAGGTTATGGAGTAGAGGAGCAGCATGGTTTTGGTGGGATATTAGAAGCACTGTGTAGCCATGAGTGCCCTTGGTGATGTGACGCCTTTCCCTCTAACATCCCTGATTTTCCACTCTGTGGTTACAGGTGAACATGCTCGTGTTGGGGAAGTACCTGGGGATCCCCAAACCCTTTGGGCCTATGATCAATGGGCGCTGCTGCCTAGAGGAGAAGGTCCGATCCTTGCTGGAGCCACTGGGCCTTGAGTGCAACTTCATTGATGACTTCACCCCCTACCACATGCTGCATGGAGAGGTACACTGTGGCACCAATGTCCGCCGGAAGCCCTTCCCCTTCAAATGGTGGAACATGAAGCCCTGAGCTGGCTCCCTTCCCTCCTTCCTCTCCTCTGCCTGGGAACTTCAGTATGAGACATGTGGAAGATTCACCTGAATGATGGAAATTCAACAAAGCAAACAAACCTAGGAAGCTTTGAGAGAAACTGAGTCCCACTGGAAACACTAAGCCCTTTCCCTATAGTCCCTTCCCTACATTAGCTCTCTACCTGGGAGCTGAAAAGCTCAGAGACCAAGTCCTCCCTCTCTATGAAACAACATGACCTCATCTTATGCTGCCTCCCACGTTTCACAGGTTTGAGACTCACAATGAATCCCCCAAACTATTCACCTGCCATTTCTTCCTTTTGTAAACTCCTCTTCAGAAAAATGCCAGCTTATAGCGTTGTGTCATGGTGATATCGTCTCCTTCCGTCAGTGAGGCCAGAGCCCCGAGCAGGCTCACACCGCCAGGCAAAAGGAAAAATTCTCAAGCCACATTTAGTTTGGTCCACTTACTTCCAACCCAGCAGACCAATAGAACTAAGAAGTAAGATCATTCCTAGCACGAGAAGGTCTGAAAAACCAAGCGGAAGCCGTAAACACGTCCCTTGTCAGCTGAGTCCTCAGAGCAGGGCCTGCAAGTTAGAATGAGAAGGATTCATAGCAGAGGCATCGACCAAGATTCTTTTTGTTCTGAGCAAATCCAGTGTCCCTTTGCTAGGCTCTAAATTCCTAGAGGGAATGGGCTATATCTTGTATATCTTCCCATCTCTCTCCTAGTACTGAGTTCAAGGTCTTGCATACAGTGGCCTCTAAATAAATGGGTTTATTTTGAAGTGTGACTGTGAAGGTAGGTTTCTAAGAGACTGACAAGATTCCCTTTGTCATCCAGCAATCAGGAATTTGACTCTTGGTCTGAAAACCTAAAAGCACTTGGGAATTTAGAGATACCAGGAATTCCATGAGATAGAGAATAGGGAAAAAGTCAACAAGCATGTAGCACTTACTGTTTGCCAAGTGTAGTAGTGCTAAGTACAGGGAGATACAGAAGCAAAAAGAAAGACAGTCCCTGCCCTGGAGGAGCTTACATGATAATGAGCAAAGACAACCTACAAAAGGGAAAAGCCAGGGGTGGGAGGGTTAGAGAAGGGAAGATATCCGAGACCAGAGAGGGATGAAGACATGTGCATGGCTGGCCCGGGCACTTCCTCAAAATGGAGGCTGTAGGAGGAACAGATCAATCAGAAAAAGGGGCCTCAGAGGCAGAGACATCTTCCAAAGCAAGAAAAGTCATGGAATCTCCTGGTTGGAAGGGAGCTTGGAGGGCATACAGTTCAAGTCATACCAGAACAAGCATTATCTCTGCAATGAACCCAAGCAGTCATCTAGCCTTCCCTTGAAGACCCCCAGTAACAGGCAGCTCACTCCTTCCCCAGCAGCCCATTCCACTTTGGGGCAACTCCACCTGTCGGGAAGCTTCTCTTGGCACCAATCCTCGATGTGCCTCTGTCAGTGCCCTGAAGCCAAAGAGAACAGGCCTCCTCCCTCTTCTACCCCATAGACCTTCAAATATTTGGCCTTCATGGCTATTATATCATTAATGTGATAATATAATATATATTATCACAATAATATGTTAATATAATTATCATAAAATACATTGCTGTATTAATAAAGTAGACAGCTAGCCTTAGACTCAGGAAGACCTGAGTTCAAATCCTACTTCTAACACATATTAGCTGTGTGCCACGATTGGTTATCTTTCCTTCTTCAAGAGGCCCAAAATGACATTATTATGTTAGATAAGTTACAATGTGTCCCACTTGACTGATCAGACCAGTATAAGCTCAGGCTGCTCTCCCACAGGTCGGGTACATTCTCTAAATTTGTGCATCTCACATTTCCTTCGAACTACTTCAATTTTGCTCTCATGGAGCACCAGCACCTTCTCTGATATGGGCACGCCATGCTGGGCGGTCCTGGGCCAATGTCTCCCATGTCACACAATCAATTCCAAAGTTTTTAAGAGAGACTCTGATAGTGTCCTTGCATTGCTTTTTCTGACCTCTGTGTGAGTGCTTGCCACGTGTGAGTTCTCCATAAAATAGTCTTTTAGGCAAATATATGTTTGGCATTCACACAATGTGGCCAGCCCATCGAAGTTGTGCACTCTGAAGCAGAGTTTGAATGCCTGGCAATTTAGCCAAGAAAGAACTTCAGTGTCTGGTGCCTTATCCCGCCAGGTGATCTTCAGAGTATTCCTAAGACAATTCCAATTCAGTTTCCTGGCAAGATACTGGTAGACTGTCCAAGTTTCACAGGCCTGTGTGAGCCCATGGACAAATCACTTGATCTCTCAGTCTCCTAAGCAACTCTTTCAGACTCTGATAGAGAAAAGATGCCTATCTGCATTGATACGGGGAGTTTTCACTCTGGGAGTTCCCCCACACCCCTGAAATCACAGATCTAAATCATATCCCCCTTACCAAAAAAAAAAAAAAGATAAATCTCATTTTTATGGCACTGTGAAGTATGGATTGGAATATTTCCCTGTTGTTCCAAATAAGGAAACTTGGGCTAGAGAGGAGTGAAATGATGTGTCCAAGGTCACAAGGCCAGTAAGGGTCTCAGCTGGGATTCAGTCTCTGCTTTCCTCATTATAAGCCCTGTTCTCTTTCCACACACCAATATCATGATGCCAAAGGGGAAAAGGCTGGCAGCTGCATCCAACTAGCTGGAGACAGTCTATCGGGTCTAGGATGGGACATGGGGGGATCCTTCCTGAGCCCTGCTGTGGGGTTTTTTCAGCAGGTCTTATTTCTAAGACCTTTGTACTAGAGGATGGGGAGCTTCTGGGGGCAATGCAGCCAAACAAAGATGGCAGCTGGAGCTGGCAGAGCAGTGAGGAGTGACTGCCAGCCCAGACAGCGGAGCCCCAAGGATGGCTTTGCTCTTCTCCATACCTGAATGTGTCACCTGTGGTTTTGGCTCAGATGCTGATACTGAGCAATAAATCAAGAGAAAAGACAAGAGATTTGTGCTTGACCTTCTCATCCACTTCCAAGCTTGGGATGACGCTGGAAGGGCAGAGGGGGTTACTTTCATTCCATACATGGCCTTGCCCAGAATAGGTGCTTCAAAAATGGTTGGTGATTACATGAAAACACTTCATGGCTGCCATAGAAATCACAGAATGCCAGCCAAGGAAGAAACCTGAGAACATAGAATGTAAGGACTGAGGACATTAGAACACAGAATGTCGGAGCTGGGAGGGCCCTTAGAACACAGAATGTTAGAGCTGGGAGGGCCCTCAGAACACAGAATGTTAGAGCTGGGAGGGACCTTAGAACACAGAATGTTAGAGCTGCGAGGGCCCTTAGAACACAGAATGTTAGAGCTGGGAGGGACCTTAGAACACAGGATGTCAGAGCTGGGAGGTTCCTTAGAACACAGAATGTTAGAGCTGGGAGGGACCTTAGAACACAGGATATCATAGGTGGGAAGACCCTTAGAACCCGGAATGTTAGAGCTGGGAGGGCCCTTAGTACACAGGATGTCAGGGCTGGAGGGGACCTTAGAACACCTTAGAAAATAAAACATCAGAGTTCAAAGGGATCTTAGAAGACAGGATGTTAGAACTTGGATAGACCTGAGAAAAGAAGTCAGGACTGGTGAGGCTAGTCTTGGAATCCAAAATGCCAGACCTGGAAGAGACCTCATATCACATCTAGCACAATAGCTCCATTTTACAGATGGGGCAACTGAGGTCCAGAGTGGCTTGCCCCAGTTCATAAAGCCAGCCAGTGGTGGAGTTGTGAAGCAAATCCAGGCTCCAGGGTTTTCCTCACTACGACAAATCTCAGGCATTCACCAAGCCAAGGGGGGAGAATTATGAAGCAGCTGAAATTTGCCTTTGGTCAACTTCTGGAGTCCTCTGCCCATCTAAACCCTGTGCAAATGAGGACCACCCTTCATTTCATCTAACACCAATAAGAACATTATCCCTCAGGGCAGCTAGGTGGTGCAGTGGATAAAGCTCCGGCCTTGGAGTCAGGAGGACCCAAGTTCAAATCCGGCCTCAGACACTTGACACGTACTAGCTGTGTGACCCTGGGCAAGTCACTTAACCCCGACTGCCTCACCAAAAAAAAAAAAAAAGAATATTATCCCTCCCAGTGATAATTTGCATTGTATCTAGGAGAATGGAAAACGTCAAGACCCAAGAGTGAGTCTCTAGTGGAAGACTTTCAGTCTCAGCCAGAGGGGTAGTTGTGTTTGAGGGGGGGTGGGTGGCTTCCTAAAAGCACAAAATCATCAAAGTAATGTGTAGATTAGCACCTTCATTTTACAAATGAAGAGCCCGGGGTCCAGAATGTCACTGGCGATGGAAGCCAAGTCTCCTACCTCCCAGTGATGGTCTAGTCCACCTATGTGCTGGGCAGGCCCTCGGATGAGACTCCCTGGCTCCTCCAGGGCTCTACCCTAACCAGAAGGAAGCCATGCTGCTTCTGGTCATGAAAGGATTTCAGGCTCTCTGCCTCGCCAGACCCAGGCTGACTCATTTTATAGGGCTTTAAATCAGTCATTTTGGGATTTCTCCAGCAAGTTCCCCAACCTACACTGAGACAGTCCAGGCTGGTGGAGGAAAAGCTCCTGCAGATCCTGCTGGCCCAGAGACCCACTGAGCTCGGGGTCTTCAGACCCCGAGGAAATCCTAGAAGCCACCAGCCAGATCCCCAGAGACGGAGGATTGGGCAGAAAGGTCTTGGAAACCTGTCTCTTTCTGTTTGTATGTTGGTTTACGGGCTCATAAGAGATGGTGGTGTTGGGGAAAGAGAGCTGACCTGCACCAGGAGTCCCGCCTCTGATACCTACTGGCTGAATGGTGACCCCAGGTAATCATTTTACCTTCTAGTATCTTAGGGACAGACCTGCATTGGTAGAGGGAGTTCCCATACCTGAAGCTCCCTAGATCAAATAAATCACAGGCCTAGTTCCTGCCTCTTACTCCTTTCACAGAACCTCCAAGTTAGAAGAGACCTCAGAAGTCCCCTACATTGCAACCCTTAGCTGAAAAACAGATCCAGCCTACCACGTACCCAGAGTGGTCTATAAGCTTTTGAGGGTACAGGCTATTTCTTTTCTGTAGGGATACAGAGGCTGAGAAGGGTCAAGGGACTTGCCCAGGATCACACAGCTAGGAAGTGTCCCAGGCTGGATTCAAACTGATATCATGCTGACCCCAAATAGAGCCACCCTATCTATTGTACCACAGAGCTGCCTCCTGTCCTGTCTCCGAAGGAGCTTCCTGGACTTTCCAGCTTATTGGCATCCTTCTTAAATTAAACCTGACTCCTACAACTACATATAGTCTCCTGGAAGGGGTCTGAGCAGGGCAGAGGGCTGGCCAATCGCTTCCCTCGTGCTGACCTCTATGCTTCTGCGAACATCAGCTTTTTCCTCTCATCTCCTGCTGGTAATTATTCTGTGACCTCCAGTTCATCCAGCTGCCAGAGAGCTGTAATGCAGAGGGTGCCTGGAAAAGGGCATGAGTCAGGAGTGTGACATCCTCAGAGAATGAGGTGGGCTGTCTTGTATGAACAGGTCCCCATTAAGCGTCAATACAGGGTGGCTGGGGTGATTCTCTTCTCGTCCTTCCTCTTTCCTTGTTTTGGGGGATGATCAGCAAGATAGAGGGTGAAGCTGGGGACAGCTCCTGTTGTGGTTGGCACGATTTCCCCATTGATTCATCCTGAGCGGGGGCTCACCTGGAGAGAGGGAGGCGGGCGGGAAATTCAGGGCTGTCTGCTTGACTCAGTCCCTGACGCTTCGGCCTTGATTTATTGCAATGAAGTTGGGGTTTCCTCCCCTTGTAAAATCGAGTTGTAGCTTCTCAGGGCCCCAGCTTTCTTGTCAGCATAACTGGGTTAGACTAGGGTGTCCTTTGCCTACAGTATTTTATGTTCAAAATTCTAAGGGCCCTCCCAGCTCTGACATCCTATGTTCTGAGACCTTTCCCACCCCTGATACTCTGTGTCCTAAGGGCCCTCCCAGCTCTGACATTCTGTGTTCTAAAGGGCCCTCCCAGCTCTGACATCCTGTATTCTAAGGTCCCTGCCAGCTCAGACATCTATGTTCTAAGACCTTTCCCACCCCTGACACTCTGTGTCTAAAGGCACTCCCAGCTCTGACATCCTATGTCCTAAGACCTTTCCCACCCCTGACACTCTGTGTCCTAAGAGCCCTCCCAGCTCTGACATTCTGTGTTCTAAGACCTTTCCCACCCCTGACACTCTGTGTCCTAAGGGCCCTCCCAGCTCTGACATTCTGTGTTCTAAGGGCCCTCCCAGCTCTGACATCCTGTGTCCTAAGGGCCCACTTAGCTCTGACATTCTGTGTCCTAAGGGCCCTCCCAGCTCTGACATTGTGTGTTCTAAGGGCCCTCCCAGCTCTGACATTCTGTGTTCTAAAGTCCCTCCCAGCCCTGACATCCTGTGTCCTAAGGGCCCTCCCAGCTCTGACGTTCTGTGTTCTAAGGGCCCTCCCATCTCTGACATGCTGTGTTCTAAAGGCCCTCCCAGCTCTGACATTCTGTGTCCTAAGGGCCCTCCCAGCTTTAACAGTC